TTGTGCACGGGCAGACATACTGGCACATATACCTGACCCAGCAGGGGGCCTGGGCCGGTGGGCAGGGGTCCCTGAGGCCCCCGCCTTCCCCGTCTCCAGCGGCGTCTCTTCCTGCCAAGCCTCCCCCAAGGCCTGTTCCCCGGTGACCCCGTTGCACTCTGTCCACAGGGCCGCGGGGGGCTGGGCTCCATCTTCGTCTGGGCCTCGGGGAACGGGGGCCGGGAACACGACAGCTGCAACTGTGACGGCTACACCAACAGCATCTACACGCTGTCCATCAGCAGCGCCACGCAGCTGGGCAACGTGCCCTGGTACAGCGAGGCCTGCTCCTCCACGCTGGCCACCACCTACAGCAGCGGCAACCAGAACGAGAAGCAGATCGTGAGTCGCCCGTGGGCGCGGGGAAGTGGGCTGCTCGCCAGCTCTGCCCAGACCCATCTGCCTCCCACCCGCACGCGGCTGGTGACACAGTGGCTCCTGCATCGTGGTGTGGGAGTTGGGGGGCTAAGACTCTTGGGAGCCGTGGAGCCCCTGAGAAGTGTAGACTCTCCCTAAAAACAATCTTTCTTTTTTTTTTTTTTAATACATTTTTTTATTGATTTTAGCGAGGAAGGGAGAGAGAGGGAGAAACATCAGTGATGAGAGAGAATCATTGATCGGCTGCCTCCTGCACGCCCCCTACTGGAGATTGAGGCCGCAGCCCGGGCCTGTGCCCTTGATCGGAATCGAACCTGGGACCCTTCAGTCCTGAGGCCGACGCTCTATCCACTGAGCCACACCGTCCAGGGCCAATCGTTGCTCTTAATGATCTCCAGCCTCTGGTGCAATCCCCTTGTTCCTTGGGAGGGTGGGAAAGAGTCTGGCACTGGCCTGTCCCTAGCAAGGCAGCACTGGGACCTACGGACTAGGCCTGGCTCGCCACACCCCCCGTGGGCGCAGGGCCTGTGGCAGAGGGAGGGCAGGCAGGGGGCCGCTCTGGTCTCCACTCACCACATGCCCAGCACCACTGTTGCCCCTGCAGGTGACCACTGATTTGCGACAGAAGTGCACCGAGTCGCACACGGGCACCTCGGCCTCTGCCCCCCTGGCAGCTGGCATCATCGCTCTCACCCTGGAGGCCAAGTAAGTGGTGGGAGCAGAAGGGGAACCTTGTCCGTACAGCGCCCCCTGCAGGGCAGCCCTGTGTCTCTAGCGCCTGCGCCAAGAGACTGAGCCCCGCCTCTCCCTCCCTCTGCAGTAAGAACCTCACCTGGCGGGACATGCAGCACCTGGTGGTACAGACCTCAAAGCCAGGGCACCTCAATGCTAATGACTGGGCCACCAATGGTGTGGGCCGGAAAGGTGAGGACAGGGTGCCCCGGGGGCCGGACTGGGGGTCCTCGGGAAGCACTCTGCCTCCTGGCTGACCCACCTTCCCTTCCCCACAGTGAGCCATTCCTATGGCTACGGCCTGTTGGACGCAGGCGCCATGGTGGCCTTGGCCCAGAACTGGACCACGGTGGCCCCCCAGCGCAAGTGCACTATCGACATCCTCACTGAGCCCAGGTGAGGGCTGGGGCTGGGCTGGGAGGGCGGGGGGGGGGGGGGGGGCCTGAGAGGGGCGGGGTGCCCTCGGGCCCCTCCGGGCTCGGCTGAGGGACCCTCCTGTGCTCTCTGCTCAGGGACATCGGGAAGCGGCTGGAGGTGCGGAAGACGGTGACCGCCTGCCTGGGAGAGGCCGACCACATCACGCGGCTGGAGCACGCGCAGGCGCGCCTCACCCTGTCCTACAACCGCCGGGGCGACCTGGCCATCCACCTGGTCAGCCCCATGGGCACCTGCTCCACTCTGCTGGCCGCCAGGTGCTTGCCCTGTCCCCTCCCCTGCACGGCCCATCCTCCCCTCAGGCCCACACGCATTCATTCATTCACTCGCTCGCTCGTTCACTCGCCCAGTCCCGATGGCCGCCGAATGAATGCTCCCCCTGCTGGCATCTTGGCAGGGATGGTTTCACTCTCTGGGACGGTCCGTATCGCAGGAATCCCCGATCCCACCCACATGCCACGTCTGCGGGCCTGCCCTCGCACATTTCCAGAAGCTTCTGGTTAAGACTATCTGGCCTAACGGGAGTCAGAGCCAGCAGGCGTTTCCAGCCCTGCAGCAGGGTTGGTGTTGCAGGGGGAGGGTGTGTGGTGGGTTTGGGGCTCCCGGCTGGGGTCCCCCCGGGCCTGAGACGGCTGTGTGCACCCTGCTCCCCAGGCCACATGACTACTCAGCGGATGGGTTTAATGACTGGGCCTTCATGACAACCCATTCCTGGGATGAGAACCCCTCCGGCGAGTGGGTCCTGGAGATTGAAAACACCAGCGAAGCTAACAACTATGGTATGGGGGACACTCGAGGTTGGGGGGCCCAAGGGGGAAAGCCAGGGTCCCCGTGGGGTCCCAGTGCCGCTCACTCTGGCCTCCTGCCCCACCTGGAATAGGTACGCTGACCAAGTTCACCCTCGTGCTGTATGGCACGGCGCCCGAGGGGCTGCCCACGCCGCCCGAGAGCAGCGGCTGCAAGATGCTTACGTCCAGCCAGGCCTGCGTGGGTCAGTAGTGGGTGCTGTTGGGTTTGGGGTCTGGCACTCGGGACACGGGGTGCTTGTTCCAAGCCGTGCTGTGGGAGGAAGGGGGCCTGAAGGGGTGCTGAATCCCTTGGGGTGACACCGTGCTGGGGCTGGGAGCTCCTGGGGACCGCGGGGACCGCACTGGGGCTGCCCTGGCCCTGGCTCACCCCGCCTTCTCTCCCTCCGGCAGTGTGCGAGGAAGGCTTCTCCCTGCACGAGAAGAGCTGCGTCCAGCACTGCCCCGCGGGCTTCGCCCCACAAGTCCTCAGCACGCACTACAGCACCGAGAACGACGTGGAGCCCATCCGCACCAGCGTCTGCGCCCCCTGCCACCCCTCGTGCGCCACGTGCCGGGGGCCCGCCCCCACCGACTGCCTCAGCTGCCCCGGCCACTCCTTCCTGGACCCTGTGGAGCAGATCTGCTCCCGGCAAAGCCAGAGCAGCCGCGAGTCTCCGAAGCAGCGGCCGCCGCTGCCGCCCACCCAGCCCGCCCCGGAGGTGGAGGCGGAGCCGCGGCCCCGGGCAGGGCTGCTGCCCTCGCACCTGCCGGAGGTGGTGGCCGGCCTCAGCTGCGCCTTCATCGTCCTGGTCTTCATCACCGTCTTCCTGGTCCTGCAGCTCCGCTCGGGCTTCAGCTTCCGGGGGGTCAAAGTGTACACCATGGACCGCGGCCTCATCTCCTACAAGGGGCTGCCCCCCGAGGCCTGGCAGGAGTGCCCGTCAGACTCCGAGGATGACGAGGGCCGGGGCGAGAGGACCACCTTTATCAGAGACCAGAGCGTCCTCTGACGAGCGCCCGCCGCCGCCCCTCCGAGCCCACCCCCTCCTCGGGCACTTTTTAATTCACCAAAGTATTTTTTTATCTTGGGACTGGGCTTGGACCCAGCTGGGGAGGCAAAAGGGGCAGGGATGGCTTCCTGCCTGACCCTCGGGCCTCCTGGCTGCCTGAGGTGGGGCCCCAGGACCAGCTGGGGTCAAGGGAGGGCCTCCCCCCACCCCCAGCACCCTCTCTGCGAGGGAAGGAGTGAAACCTTAAGGACAGCTTTCCAAGCTGTCCAGGCCTCAGCCGGAGCTCCCTGCGGCGTAAAGAGGGGAAGCCCTTCCCTCGGGGTTCCTGACCCGGTTGCAGCTCCGGCTGCTTCCCTGTCCCTCTAAAGCAATAATGGTCCCCAACCGGGCAGCAGGGAGGCTGACCAAGGGACATGTGAGGAGGAGGCCACCTCTCCAAGGGCTTGCGCATCCCCGACACCGCCCCCACCTCTGATGAGCCTCAGGCAGAAGCAGTGATGGAAGGAAGGGACCAAGGCGAGGCAGGTGCTTCCAGGGTGTGTGTGCGCACGTGTGTGTGTCTCTGCTCACCACAGCTGGCTGCCCGCTGAGCGAGGCCGGCCCAGCCAAGCCCCACGCTGGCGTCCTGACCACCCCCCTCCCGCCGGGGCCTAAGTCCCTGTTTTCTGAGCCCGGGGCTGCCTGGGCTGTTGGCACCCAGTCCCGGAGCCCCTGGGTGGGTGTTGGGGAGGGACGGTGGCCCAGCCGGCCTCTCCCGCCTCCCACCCAATGCTGCTTTCCCCTGTGGGGATCTCAGGGGCTGTTTGAGGATATATATTTTCACTCTGTGATTATTTCACTTTAGATGCTGATTTTTTCTCTCTTTTTTTTTTTTTTGTATTTTTAATGGGGGTAGCAGCCGGACCACCATCTCCCCACACCCACTTTCCACCCTGCTATTCTCCCAGCTGCTCTGGCCCAGAGGTGTGGGGGGAGGGGGGGGCTGCAGCATGTTGCTGGGGAGTGCGGTGTCGCTGAGCCCCAAGTTCTGAGGAGGCTGACCGGGGGGGCCCTTGGAAATGGGGATTGCGGTGGGAGGGGTGACTGTTCATGATTCAGATGGGGCTTGCCGTGCCGAGGGCTCATGGGTCACCGGTTCTCCAAGTGCCAGGGGTGGGCAGGCGGCACCGTGCCCCCTCCAACACTGTGCCCTGGTGGAGAAAACACTGGCCTGGCCTGCCCCCTCCCCCCCAAGTTCCGCTCTTCTGACGTGCCTTTTGCACCCCTCCCACTAGGACAATCAGTCCCCTTCTGTTTGGGAGCCCTCTTCTTTCTCACCCCGAACCCCTCCCAGCACCCAGCCACCTGCCCAGGGGTGCCCGCTCCCCGCCCTCCCCTGTGGCCAGCCAGCTGGTTTTGTAAGACACTGGGTTGGTACACAGTGATTTTTTTCCTTGTAATTTAAACAGGCCCAGCATTGTTGGTTCTATTTCATGGAAACCGATAATATTCGAAGTTTTAAAGTGATTAAACTTGCATACCTATGCAATCGAGACCTGGTCTCCGGTGTGGTGGCACTGTTCTTCCCAGGACCCCGGGACTGCATGGGGGTGGGGGGGTCGGGGGGGATTAGATGCCCAGTGTGATGTCCTGCGTGCCTCGAGATGGGCCCAAGTCGGGACTCCAAGGCCTGTCTGCTGAGGGGTTCCAGGGCCTCCGTTAGGGAGCAGAGGGGTCTAGAAGGAGGCAGCAGCTGGAGACAAGCCCCTGGGGTGGGACAAGCTGAGCACCCCACCCCACAGGCCCGGTGTCCAGCAGGGGCTGCCCCATTGCTCAGGGTCTCCCTTGGCTGAAGGAAGTGGCCTGGCCACCAGGTGCAGGGCTGAGGCCTCCGGTGGGACCAGGAAGGCCGGGGTGCTCCTGCTGGGGAGACCCTGAGACCCAGCTGGGTAAACTCTACCCCAGCCCCAGCCCCACCCCCAGGTCTCCCTGGGACAGGAAGCTCCCTCCTGCCTGGGGCAGGGGAGTGGGGATTGGCCCATCAGGACCTGTGCCTGACGAGAGGCCTCTCCTTGGTAGATTTACTTGGAAGTTTTCCTTAAATGGAGCCCGCACCTGGGTGCCCCTTGGGGAACCCTGGGGTGGAGAGGGCCTGGCCTATGCTCTCGGTTACTCTTCCGGACACTGGGCTGCTGCTAGGACCGCCACCTGCCGCCGGACTCCCAGGCTCAGAGGCCCCACGCCTGCCCGCAGCCTCTCCCAGCGCCCGCCCCTCCTAGGCACCCTGGGGCCACTCTCCGTCCCCACCCCAGGCCCTGGGGATTGCTGGCCCAGGCTGCCCTTGCAGGGCCATTCTTCCCCGGCCCCTCCTCCCTTCCGTTTCCGCGGCTGGGGCTGGGGCTGGGCAGGAGGGCCGGCAGGCATGGGGGCTACTGCCCGCCCCTTCCCCTCAGCGGCCCGCCCCGGGGTCTGAGCCAACTGAAACCCGGGAGGAGGAAGCACCGAATCAGGAACTGGCCAGTTGGCTGGGCCTAAGGCAGCCCTCGGCGCCCCTGGATCAGCTGCCCAAGCCGTGAGTGAGTGGTAACTCCTAGCCAAGGCCCGGCAGGCAGGCAGAGGGGGGTGGGTGGCGGCCCAGGAGCAGGGGCTGGGACTCAGCAGGCAAGAGCCACAGGAGCGGGTGGGGCAGGAGTGGCTGCAGGAGCAGGGCCCAGGCTGTGGCTGCTACCTGGGGCGCCTGCAGGGGAGAGCTGGGCCCTGCCAAGGGCCTGGGTGCATGCGCCCCTGTAACGGGTGCTGAGTGGGAGGGCCCGGGGCTCTGTTCCAGAACTGGGGAGCGGACCCCTGGCGCCCGGCCTAGGCCTGGCACACGGGAAGCAGTGAGAGTCAGCCCCAAGCCAGGTGGCGTTTGTACCTGTGAGTGCCGGTCAGCAGGACAGGCCCCCACCTTCCTCCCGCCAGCCTGCAACTCCTCTGGGTCCTCAGCCCCCAGGCCTCTCTGCCTCCCCCGCCGACGGCCTCTCCTTTCTCTGTCCCCAGAACCGCACTATGGGCTTCTCCTCGGAGCTGTGCAGCCCCCAGGCCCACACGGCCGTGCAGCAGATGCAGGAGGCCGAGCTGCGGCTGCTGGAGGGCATGAGGAAGTGGATGGCCCAGCGGGTCAAGAGTGACCGGGAGTACGCGGGGCTGCTGCACCACATGCAGGACAGCGGGGCCCAGAACCGGGCCGGCCCCGACAGCCCCATCAGCCAGGTGGGCTTCTGTGGGGCCTCCTCGCCCCCTTCCCACCCTCGCCCGAGGAATGCCTGTGGGTTCCAGGGTTATCTGCCTGCCCCTTCCTTTCCCGAATGCCCCTGGGGAGGGCTAGAGAGGGGGCAGTCCCAGGCTCCGCAGCCATCGTCCCCTCCCCGTGACCCCTCCCGCCCCGCAGTCCTGGGCAGAGATCACCAGCCTGACGGAGGGCCTGAGCCGGTTGCTGAGACAGCACGCCGAAGATCTGAACTCGGGGCCCCTGAGCAAGCTGAGCATGCTGATCGGGGTGCGGCAGCAGCTGCGCAAGACCTACAGCGAGCAGTGGCAGCAGCTGCAGAACGACCTCACCAAGGTGGGTGGGCGTCCTGGGCCGTCACCTGGGCCTCTCTGCCCACACTTTGAGCTCAAAGGGCCGGCTTTGCACAAGAGCCCCTGGATTCACAGGGAAGTGGAAGTCCTGACCGCAGGCCCGCCCCCCGCAGCTTCCTTTCCCGCCTGGTTTGCTGCCTCGCCGGCCTTGGGCTGCCCTCCAGCGGGGCCTCCCCGTGCATTTTATTTTCTGTCAGTTCTGTGTGTCTGGGCAGAGTGCTGGGAGTACAAGGACGAGATGTCCCGCCATTGCCTGGGTAGCGCAGGGCAGCAGCTGGCTCTGGGGCTGAGAGACAGGGAGAGGCATGAGGGCTGGTCTGTCTGTCCTTGTCCCGGGTGGACTCCTCTCAGGGCCCAAGAGACACCACCAGGCAGCAGTGTGGCCCCAGCACCGAGGTTAAAGACTGGGGCTGTGAAGTCGGCCTGCCTGCATTTGAATCCGGCTCAGCTCCTCCGTCTGTTGATCTCCCAGCGCCTGGCGCTGTTTACCTGGGTGTTTCAGCCTGTCATTCAGCGATTTCCAACAGGTGTGCTGCAGCCCACTGGTGCGCCACAAGAATTTTATTTTTTAAATATATTTGTATCGATTTCAGAGGAAGAGAGAGGGAGAGAGAGAGAGAAACATCAGTGATGAGAGAGAATCATGGATCGGCTGCCTCCTGCACGCCCCCCACTGGGGATCGAGCCCGCAACCAGGGCATGTGCCCTTGACCGGAATCGAACCCGGGACCCTTCTGTCCGCAGGCCGATGCTCTATCCACTGAGCCAAACCAGCTAGGGCCACAAGAATTTTTTTTTTTAAATATATTTTATTGATTTTTTACAGAGAGGAAGGGAAAGGGATAGAGAGTTAGAAACATCGATGAGAGAGAAACATCGATCAGCTGCCTCCTGCACACCTCCTACTAGGGATGTGCCCGCAGCCAAGGTACATGCCCTTGACCAGAATCGAACCCGGGACCCTTCATTCTGCAGGCCGACGCTCTATCCACTGAGCCAAACCGGTCAGGGCGCAAGAATTTTTAAAACTTGCAATACCTGACAGTTTAGTCAGGGGCACTGACCTCTTTTCCCTTAGATTGTCAAGTAAAGAAAAATGACAACAGCCAACACAACAGCAGCCATCCAGTGTGAATGCCCTGGCTTGACTCATAAATATATAAGTCATAGAATGGAGTTGCGTCTTGCTGGTCGAGAAACATCAATGTGATTGAAATACATCGATTGGTTGCCTCCGGCACATGCGCCAACCAGGGCCAGGGAGGAGCCTGTAACAGAGGTACATGCCCTTGACTGGAATCGAACCCGGTCCGCAGGCCGACACTCTATCCACTGAGCCAAACCAGCTAGAGCTGTAATTACTACTTTTATTAGTAGTAGTGTTTTGTAAGTCAATCAAAATTATCCCTATTCCTTTTGTCAGACCGGCAAAAATATATTTTTCGGTGTGCCGCAGGATTTTGGTGATTGGTTTACGTGTGCCATGAGATGAAAAAGGTTGAAATTTGCTGTTCTAGTTCAATGTACCGGTCAAGCTCCTGTACCACCCCCTTCTACCAGCGCAAAAGCCAGCCTTGCTGTGGACCCACAGCGGCCCCTGGTGGCCAGTGTCAACCCATTCTTCTCTCTCCCCAAAAGCTTATCTAAAAAACAGGGTTTGCCAGCCCTAGCTGGTGTGGCTCAGTGGATAGAGCCTCAGCCTGTGGACTGAAGGGTCCCGGGTTCAATTCTGGTCAAGGGCACATGCCCAGGGTCGCAGGCTTGATTCCCCAGTAGGGGGCGTGCGGGAGGCAGCTGATCAGGGATTCTCTCTCATCATCTCTCCCTCTGCCTTCCTCTCTGAAATCAATAAAAATATATCAAAAAATAATAATCAAATAAAATGTTCACCAGCTGGCCCTCGAAGGAAAAGTCTCGTGCAGTCTGTGCGTTTCGCTCAGTTACAGATGGGGAAACTGGGGCTCAGAGGAGAGGCTGGAACTGGCCCGACAGCATCCCAGTCCCTCAACAGGGGAATTGGGACGAGAACTCTGGTCTCGACCATCTATTTTTCCTGCCGCCTTGCAGGACTCGCTGCAAAATGAAAATGTGGGGCCCTGTCCAGGAATTACTATTTTCCCCCAAGAAAGTCATTTTATTCTCATGAAATACAATAAAACTGTTTAAGTTATGCTATTTTGTTATGGCATCCTGAGCTAAATCATCCACCCTGCCAGACTCCTTTATTGATGGTGATTTTTTTTTAAGCATTTTAAGCAGGAATTTCTTTCTTTTTTTTTAATCTTTATTGTTGAAAGTATTACATATGTCCCCCTTTCTCCCCCATTGATCCCTTCCAGCTCGCCCCCTGCCCCAGGCCCTCATCACCCTATTGTCTGTGTCCATGGGTTATGCATATGTGCTTTCAAGGTCTTGTCAAAGAATTATCGACCATTTCAGGATGGCATCCGCAGAGAGCCTTTCTCAGTGTGGAGCTCTATGTGCCTGCAGCTGGGCCCTGCCTGCCACCAGATACCACTCTGGGCTGAGGAGGGGCAGTTGTCACCTACCCGCTCCTCTCTCTGCCTCCCCAGGGGCTGTCCTCTGCCGTAGCCTCGGCCGCAGAGGTCAGACCCCAGAGGTCTGCCGGCCCTTCCTGGGGGATGGCCTTGGACTTGCTGCCCTGGGGGCCTGCTGACCACACTGCCTCTTCTCTCTCCCCAGACCCACACCCAGGACATTGAGAAGCTAAAGAACCAGTACCGAAACCTGGCGAGGGACAGCGCCCAGGCCCGGCGCAAATACCAGGAGGCCAGCAAAGGTGTGTGGCTTCCCTCGGACCCGTCCACAGTTGCCCAGGGACGGGGGGTGGGGTAGGGGGCTGCCCAGGCCTCGGTGCCATCACCCACACCCCCTCCCCTTAACCTCGCAGACAAGGACCGCGACAAGGCCAAGGACAAGTACGTGCGCAGCCTGTGGAAGCTCTTCGCTCATCACAACCGCTACGTGCTTGGCGTGCGGGCTGCGCAGCTGCACCATCAGCACCACCACCAGCTCATGCTGCCCAGCCTGCTCCAGTCGCTGCAGGACCTGCACCAGGAGATGGCCCGCATCCTGTGAGCCCCGGGCCCCCGCCCCTCCCCGTCACAGCCCCATCACCCTGCCCCGTGCCCAGAGGCAGGGTCCAGAGAAGTCAGTCCTGTGACAGGGATGGTCGTAGAATCACGTGGGAACGGGCCTTGGGCCGAGGATTGGAGCCATTCGGTGTATATCTGAATTACATGATCCCAGGGCCCCTTATTACAGGGCTTTAATTATATTTATTGAGATCGTTCTAGGCTCTGGGATACAGCAGAGAGAAACACTGAAAAATACCTATCCGCCAAGATCATTCATGTCAGGGTAGAGAGGAAAGGAAGTCAGTAAGTAAAATAAAAAGCATGTTAGAAGCGACAAGTGTTCTCGAGAAAACGAAAACAAGAAAGGGGGGTGGGGAGGCAGCCTTAAACAGAGTGGTGTGAAAACGCCCCAGAGGTGGAGGCATGAGCCAGGGATGCTGGGAGAAAGGCCAGGCCAGGAAGAGGGAGCAGCAGGTGCAAAGGCCCTGAGGCGGGCGATGGCCTGAAGTGAGGGGAAAGCGAGGAGGCCGGTGTGGCCTGCACAGAGCCAGGGAAGGGCTGAGTCACACGTGAGGCCGGAGCTGTCCAGGCGTGGGGGCTGCTGGGCTGTAGAGGGTCCCCCAGGCCACTGCAAGGACTTCGGCCTCGGGGGCAAGGCCAAGGGCAGGGAGGACCAGACAGGAGGCATCTGCAATAATCCAGACCACAGCCTGTGGCTGTTGGGACCCATGGAGGGGAGACGGGGTCAGGTGCTGGGTGTAGGTTGAAAGTGGTGCAAGGGGGACGACCTCATGGACTGGCAGTGGGGCGTGGAATAGAGGCGTTCTGAGTGACGCGGGGGATTTGGGCCGGCGCTCCTGGAAGATGCAGTCGCCGTTCGCTTACGTGGAGAAGGCTATGAGAGAAACAGGTTCCAGGTTCGGGAGACAAGAAAAGGAACTCCCCTTTCAACGAGTGGAGTTTGGTGTCCAGCGGGGGGGCGTTTGAGTACGTAAATGGGTACTTGAGACTGGGGCTCTGGGGAGGTGCTGGGACTGGAGACATCAGAGTGGGGGTCACAGCACATCGATGGCTGATGCATGTGTGATTGCAGGCGTGATTGTCGCTCACTTTTTAAAAAAAAATGTATTTTTATTGATTTCAGAGAGGAAGGGAGAGGGAGAGAGAGAGAGAGATAGAAACATTGATGATGAGAGAGAAGCATTGATCGGCTGCCTGCAGCACGCCCCCTACTGGGGAGTGAGCCTGTATCCTGGGCAGGTGCCCTTGACTGGAATCGAACCTGGATCCTTCAGTCCGCAGGCCGACGCTCTACCCACTGAGCCACACGGGCTAGGGCTGTAGCTCACTTTTAACCAGCACATTCGTCGCACACTCTCACTGGGCCCTCATTACCACTCCCAGCTCCCCCATCACACATAACAGGGAGTGGAGGTCAGGAGACGGTCAGTAGTTTGCCTGATGGACTGGTCATTTGGCTGGTCAACGAGGAGGTGGGGACTCAACCCCCCACCGCTGACTCCCAACCCAGAGTCGGGGCCCCCAGTTCCCAGCCTTGCCCCGGCCCGAGGCCTGGCTGACCCGGCCTGAGGCGGGCATGTCGTCGGGGGGTAGGAAGGAGATCCTGCAGGAATACCTGGAGATCAGCAGCCTGGTGCAGGACGAGGTGGCGGCCATTCACCAGGAGATGGCTGCAGCCGCTGCCCGCATCCAGCCCGAGGCCGAGTACCACGGCTTCCTGCGGCAGCACGGGTAAGCCCCTCCTCGCCCCTGCCCGGCACCGGAGCTGCTGGCCTGTCCCTTGACGGGGCCCTGTCCCCCCCCGCAGGTCCGTCCCTGACGTCCCACCCTGCGTCACCTTTGATGAGTCCCTGCTGGAGGAGGGCGAGGCCCTGGAGCCGGGGGAGCTGCAGTTGAATGAGCTGACGGTGGAGAGCGTGCAGCACGTGTGGGTGGCAGGCAGGCACGGGGCGGGTGCTGTCGGGCTGCAGGGGCATCTGAAGGGCAGCTCCAACCCTGCCCTTCCTCCTGGCACAGGCTGACTGCCGTGACCGATGAGCTGGCTGCGGTCAACCAGATGGTGCTCAGCCGGCAGGAGATGGTCAGTCAGCTGCAGCGTGAGCTCCGGCACGAGGAGCAGGCCATCCACCCCCGGCAGCGGTGAGAGGTCCCCCCTACAGCAGCCCCCCCCCCACCCCCCCTGCTGGCTGCCCCACTGAGCCCTCTCTCCCGGCCCCACCTGCCCGCTGCAGGGTCTACCTGCTGAGCAAGAGGCAGGTGCTGCAGGAGGAGCTGCAGGGGCTGCAGGTGGTGCTGTGCAGCCAGGCCAAGCTGCAGGCCCAGCAGGAGCTGCTGCAGGCCAAGCTGGAGCAGCTGGGCCCTGGCGAGCCCCCGCCGGTGCCCCTGCTGCAGGACGACCGCCACTCCACGTCGTCCTCGGTGAGTGTCCCCACCCCACCCACGGGGCCACCCTGCCGGCCGGCCCGGGCCGAGCTCCTCACTGTCGCCCTCCCCCTCCCCAAGCCCGGCCACCCGCTGACGTCTGTCCCTGGCCTCAGGAGCCGGAGCGGGAAGGGGGAAGGACGCCCACCCTGGAGATCCTCAAGAGCCACATCTCAGGAATCTTTCGCCCCAAGTTCTCGGTGAGTGAGGCCTGGCCGGCCCACGCCTCTGCCTGCCCCTTCTCCAAGGGCGTGGGCCGGCCAGGAGCTCAGAGAGGCCCCCTGAGCCCCTCCCACCGTGGTGTCTGGGTGGCCACTGGGTTGCCCAAGTAGAGAGAAGGCTCTGCCCAGGCTACTTTTATGGGGTGTCCTGGCGTAGGTGTCTCCAGATCCTGCCAACCCCACTCCCCTTCCCTCTGCCACCCCAGTGCTGAAGGGACCTGCAGCCTTGGTTACCCCACAGCTCGGGGAGGGGCGGGGGGCTGTGGCCTGGTGTGAAAGGCAAAGGCGCGTGGTGTGGGGCCAGCCAGCTGGCTTCCCCTCCCAGCTCTGCCCGGAGCCTGTGCCATTCTCGCAGCCTGCTCTGGGGCGTGCCGATGGCTCTGCCTGCTCCTGGGGTGGTTGGGAGGACTGAGGGGCATTAAGACAGACACCCTCCTGACCCCCGACTGGCCTCCTGGTCACCCCCCCTCCTCCCTGCCCCTCCCCAGCTCCCCCCACCACTGCAGCTCATCCCCGAGGTACAGAAGCCCCTGCAGGAGCAGCTGTGGTACCACGGGGCCATCCCGCGGGCAGAGGTGGCGGAGCTGCTGACACAGTCCGGGGACTTCCTGGTGCGGGAGAGCCAGGGCAAGCAGGAGCACGTGCTGTCCGTGCTGTGGGACGGCCAGCCCCGGCACTTCATCATCCAGTCTGCGGACGTGAGTGCCGGCCGCCCTCCCGGCCGCTGGGGTGGGGGGTGGCCTCGCCAGGGTGAAGGGTGCCTCCCTGGCAGAGCGCCCGGGCCACGGAGACCCCCAGTGCCTGCAGCCAGACAGGCTCAAGCCCTCAGTGTGGGTTCTCCCCGGAGGAGGGGAGCAGGCGTGCCGGGCACCATGAGGTTATATCTTTCTTCCTCTTCTTTTCTTTCTTTTTAATATGTTTTTATTGATTTCAGAGAGGAAGGGAGAGGGAGAGAGAGAGAGAAACATCAATGCTGAGAGAGAGTCACTGATTGGCTGCCTCCTGCATGCCCCACACTGGGAATCGAGCCTGCAACCTGGGCATGTGCCCTGACCAGGAATTGAACCGTGACCTCCTGGTTCAAAGGTTGATGCTCAACCACTGAGCCACACTGGCCAGGCAGGTTATGCCTTTCTGCAGTGTCTCTGCCTCCCGTCCAGGGCAGACCCTTTCTCCCTGCTGCTCCCCATCCCCTCCCCCCAGGGCTCAGGTCCCCTCAGCAGCAGAGGCTGCTGACCCCGGGACCCCCTGCCCCGCAGAACCTGTACCGACTGGAGGGCGATGGCTTTCCCACCATTCCCTTGCTCATCGACCACCTGCTGCGCTCCCAGCAGCCCCTCACCAAGAAGAGTGGTGTTATCCTGGGCAGGGCTGTGCCCAAGGTAAGCCTGTGCCCCGGCCGCCCACCCCGCCCACGGCAGGCCTTGGGGAGCAAGGTTCCGGCCCAAAGAGTCCAGGCAGGAGGGCCTTTCCGGGTCCCCAGTCTCTGGGCTCCACACAGGGGCAGCTACCTGCTGGATTTGGAAGGTCAAGGCCACTCCCATCCACAGGCTGGCGCTCACCCAGTTAGGCCCCTGCCTGGTCCCCAAAGTTCTCCGCGTGGGATCCTGATAGGGTCCAACCCCATTTTACAGACTAACAAACTGAGGCACCAAGAAATGAAAGATGTAGCCCCGGTGGGAGATGTTCAGTCTTCCGCAGGGCCCAGTACGCCGTCCCTTCGCTAGCTTCTGACACCCCCCTCCCCCTTCCCCAGGACAAGTGGGCGCTGAACCACGAGGACCTGGTGTTGGGCGAGCAGATTGGGCGGGTGAGTTGAGTGCCCTGCGGCCTCCTGGATGCCTGCGTTGTCCCACTTCCTTCCAGCCCTCCCCCCCCCCGCCCCGCCTCCGCAAGTCACACCAAGGCCCCCCTCCCAGAGCTTTTCTGCTTCCTGCCTCTCTGATCCCCAGCTCGTACCCTGCTCCCCTCCCGGCCACCACCATGCACCATTCTGTAGGAAACAGGGAAAGTCCCTGCTATTGGCACCCCCCCACACCAGCCCCTACCCCCCCCCAGGGCCCTGCCTCCCCACCCCACCCGCCTCCCCAGGGAGCTGTGGTGAGCGAGAGGAGACGCACCGTGCTCCTGTGAGCTATAAAATACCTGCTTAGGAAAGAAGTCAGTTTCCTAAAGATCACAAGGCTTTTCCAACCCAAGGGAAAGTAGCTTTTGTTATTCTTGTTGTTTTTTTAAAAATATATATTTTTATTGATTTCAGAGAGGAAGGGAGGGAGGGAGAGAGAAACATCGATGATGAGAGAGAATCATGGGTCAGCTGCCTCCTGCACGCCCCCCATTGGGGATCGAGCCCGCAACCCGGGCCTGAGCCCTGACCGGGAATCAAACCGTGACCTCCTGGTTCTTAGGTCAATGCCCAACCGCTGAGCCACACCGGCCGGGCGGAAAGTGGCTTTTGGATTGTCCATGTCACTTCTCTTTAGTGAACATGTCAGAGGTGACATTCCCTGCCTGTCCCATGTGGACTCCCTCGGTCCCCCAACCAGGGGTAAACCAGAGAGCCGAGATAGGGCGCTGAGCAAAGGGCGGGTGGGAGCCCGGAGGGCTGTCCCCTGAGACGAGGGGACTGTGGTCCAGAGACGACGGGCAGGAACCCCGGACCGTTGCAGGGGAACTTTGGTGAAGTGTTCAGCGGGCGCCTGCGAGTGGACAATACCCTGGTGGCGGTGAAATCCTGTCGGGAGACGCTGCCGCCTGACCTCAAGGCCAAGTTTCTGCAGGAAGCCAGGTAGGTGATGACATAATGGTCACCGCCGTGGCCCCTCAAGGGGTTCCTCTGGCACGGTGACATAGAGAGCTTGACTTCCGTGGTGTCATGTCATCCTCACAGACTCACCCCCCGCAACCAGGGCAGAGGGGTTGAGGCTCAGTGACCCCACCCAAGGTCACACGTCCAGGCCTCCTGACCTCAGAGGTCAAGCTCGCTCTTCTGCTGCCCTTTCCCCGTCCTCCCTCGGGCTTCCCTGGGGTTCCCTGGGGTCCCTGGGGCTGGGGTAGGATGTGTAGGCCCCCACGGTGGGAGCCTAAGCAGCAGTGCCCGCCAGGATCCTGAAGCAGTACAGCCACCCCAACATTGTGCGTCTCATCGGCGTCTGCACCCAGAAACAGCCCATCTACATCGTCATGGAGCTGGTGCAGGGTGAGCCCAGGGCCAGCTCTCCAGGGGTGGGGACCTCAGCCCCCTGGGTTGCCCCCCGCCCCCACAGGAGGCTCAGCAAGCCTCCCCCATCCACCCCAGGGGGCGACTTCCTGACCTTTCTTCGGACGGAGGGAGCCCGGCTCCGGATGAAGACTCTGCTGCAGATGGTGGGGGACGCAGCTGCGGGCATGGAGTACCTGGAGAGCAAGGGTTGCATCCACCGGTGAGCGGGGAGCGCCCTCACGCAGCCCAGCCTCCCCTGTGGCCCCCCTCGTAACCCCCCTAGGCTCAGGCCGTGCTGTCACCCAGCACCCCTCATTCACCAGCAGGTCCGACTCCAGCGCTGGGGTTCGCCTCTCCCAGGGCAGAGAGCAGTCTTATTGTTTTTTGTTTTTTTGGGGTTTTTTTTTGTTTTTATTGTGTGTTTTTTCAGAGAGGAAGGGAAAGGGAGAGAGAAATAGAAATATCAATGATGAGAGAGAATCATGGATCGGCTGCCTCCTGCATGCCGCCCCCCACTGGGCAGCGATCCCGCAACCCAGGCATGTGCCCTTGACAGGAATCGAACCCGGGACCCTTCCGTCGCAGGCCGACGCTCTATCCACTGAGCCACACCAGCTCGGGCAGAGAGCAGTCTTTGTTCATGGGTGTGTCTGGGGGGCCCAGGTCAGGCCGGTGACAGGTGCTGCGTGGACGGTGGCTGAGTGAGCCCCTTTCCTGCTCTTCCCAGGGACCTGGCTGCTCGGAACTGCCTGGTCACGGAGAAGAACGTGCTGAAGATCAGTGACTTCGGGATGTCCCGGGAGGAAGAGGACGGGATCTACGCCGCCTCGGGGGGCCTCAGGCAAGTCCCCGTGAAGTGGACAGCACCCGAGGCTCTGAACTACGGTAAGCCAATGGCATCCAGGCCTCCAGTGCCAGCCCGGGCGCACCTCCCTCTGACCGAGGACGTGGCGGCCCTCTCACGCCGCCCGCCCCCTTGCAGGCCGCTATTCCTCCGAGAGCGATGTGTGGAGCTTTGGCATCTTGCTCTGGGAGACCTTCAGCCTGGGGGCCTCTCCGTACCCCAACCTCAGCAATCAGCAGACGCGGGAGTTCATAGAAAAGGGTAAGGCAGCCCGCTGCTGACCGCAGCCTCGCAGCCAAGTTTTGGGTGTTTGTGTGGTTTTTTTTAAAGATTTTGTATTGATTTTTAGAGAGAGAGGAAGAGAGAGGGAGAGAGATAGAAACATCAATGATGAGAGAGAATCATTGATCGGCTGCCTCCTGCACGCCTCACACTGGAGATGGAGCCCGCAACCCAGGCATGTGCCCTGACCAGGACTCGAATGGTCAATGCTTAACCACTGAGCCACATTGGCCGGGTCCAAGCATTTGTCCCTATGCTGCAGGGGGACTCTTCCGGGTCCCCTCACCTTCCGGTCTTCCCACTGGGGCCGAATAAGATCAATCAGTCCTGTAGCTGCCACCGAGTGAGCACAGCAGGGGAGGCGGGAATGAATCTGTCCCTTTTACAGAAGGAAAAACTGAGGCTTGCAGAGGTCATACAGCCAGCGCACGGTGGGGTTGCGATTAGGACCTCTGTGTCCTTGGGGCTCTTGGTGAGGAAGTGTGGCCCCTGAAGAACAGTGCGGTTTGCTCAGTTCCCATTGCTCACGGGTTCGGTTCCCCCCTCCCCGGAGCTGCGAGGGGGCCTCAGACTCCCTCCTCACGCCCGGGTGCTGTGCTCGTCCTCACAGGGGGCCGCCTGCCCTGCCCCGAGCTGTGCCCCGACGCTGTGTTCAGACTCATGGAGCAGTGCTGGGCCTACGAGCCCGGGGAGCGGCCCAGCTTCAGCGCCATCCACCAGGAGCTGCAGTGCATCCGAAAGCGGCATCGGTGAGGCTGGGCCGCCGCTCCAGCCGGTGGCCTGTGCCTGCGAGATCGCACCTCCTCCCCAGGCTCTTCGCAGCTCTGGACTCCAGCCACCAGCATCCGTGCGCAGGTGGGGATGCGGCCCCATGTCTGCGGCGCATCGCGCTCCTGCCAGGGCCTCCTCTTCCAAGCAGAAATAATAAACCACTTGTGCCCGCCTAGTGCTCTTGGCATGCGCGCTCCCCTGGAGGGCAGGGCTTAGGACAGCGATGGCGAACCTATGACACGCGTGTCAGAGGTGACACGCGCACTCATTTTTTTGGTTGATTTTTCTTTGTTAAATGGCATTTAAATATATACAATAAATATCAAAAATATAAGTCTTTGTTTTACTATGGTTGCAAAGATCAAAAAATTTCTATAGGTGACACGGCACCAGAGTGAAGTTAGGGTTTTTCAAAATGCTGGCACGCCGAGCTCAAAGGGTTCGCCGTCACTGTCTTAGGAGGAGCAGAGGAGGGAGGACGGGCAGTGTCCACGGGGCAGAACCCACGCGGTTCGAGGGGCCTGTGCGGATGTCAGGGTGACGTCCGAGTCTGGAAGGCCAGACGCTAATCCAGGCTGGCACTGGAGGCCTGAACGTCATGAGCGTATCAATGTGAGAGAGCAGCTGACACTACGAAGTGTGATCGATCACATGAGATTCAGGAGAGAGGAGAGGGCTGGGGCAAGTTAGAGCTTCCCTGAGTGGCTGCAGGGAAAGAAATGGCTTCTCAGGGAGTTTCTCTCTCACACACGCTTACTGAGCAGAGCTCCCACCCCCTTCCCTGAGTCCCCCTGAAACCTACAGAATGACCTGAAACTGTACCAGCAGCACCAGGGAAGGTCTAGAAGATGCGAAGTATGAACACACTGAAAAGCATACACGGGAAAGATGTCTAGCGCCAAAGAACAAAGCAGAACTTTGAGGCCAAATGGCCATCCCCCCCAAGAAAGTTGAGGAAATAGTTGACGTCTCTTTTCAAAGACATGAAAGGCCTGTAACTTCTTTAAACAAGAGAAACCAGTTCGAGTATGACTCAATGGACGTATTAAGAAGTCAAATCATATCTTTATTGGAAATGGTAAAAAGCAGAACTTCTGCTTCTGGGTAGGATGTGGTAGATCTCTGCAGGCCACCGCTCTCGTTGCAACAAGGAGGAGGAAACATATATAAGATGATAATCGTCATTTTTAAAGAGAATGGAGAGTAGTTGGGAGAGATAAGAACCAGATGAACGAAGATGCCAAGGAGGAAAGGGCCCCGCCCAGGTGAACGCTGGATGGGTGGTTATGTACGTCCCTGAGACATGCGATGAGCAAAATTGTCCCAAACAAAGGAAAGGAGAAGTGAGCCGTTTCTGTGCTATGGATTGGGCCCAAGAGGAACCTAAAATGCAAAGCCAGTTTTTCCCACAGAACATTTGCTGAGTTTTGGAGCCATCGAGGCCATTGGGAAGGGGCTGGGCTGGGAAGACAAGTCCCACGGCCTTGCAGGATTTAGAGGGTGGACCTGAAACAAACCAATAACTCCCCCTTAAGATACTGGCCAGATCTCGAACCTGTGGGTTGGGAGGCTAAAGAGCTAACCCTAGAATCTCTGAAGAGCAGATTTTGAAAGCCGAGAGAGGCGGAAACTGGCCAGGCTTTCAACCCCAAATCCAAGAGGGCCACTCCTAAGGGACAGGGACAATCCAGGGGAGGACTGAGAGTTACAGAGCTATAACTCTGCCCCATCTTAGCTCAGCACTTGACTACTGACTACAAGAGGAACAAGAAAAATATCTCGAGGTGACTAGTTCCTCTGGATTGGGAGGTATAGGTGGGGAAGAGGCAAGGAATAACATAGTCCGAAGTCCCTAACTTTCTTTTTCTTTTCTTTTTTTAAATATATTTTTATTGATTTCGGAGAGGAAAGGAGCGGAAGAGAGAGATAGAAACATCCATGATGAGAGAGAATCATTGATCAGCTGCCTTCTGCACGCCCCCTATTGGGGATCGAGCCCACAACCCAGGCGTTTGCCCTTGACCAGAATCGAACCTGGGACCCTTAAGTCCGCAGGCCGACGCTCTATCCACTGAGCCAAACCACCTAGGGCTCCCTACCCTTCTTTTACACCCAATATGCAACATGCAAACAAAAATTATAAAATGTGCCCCAAAAAAGGATAAAAAAAATAAAGAAAAATGGGGCCAACACATAAGAGAAAACATAAACAACAGAAGCAAGACCACAGATGATCCAGATATTGGAGTTGGCAGACAAGGATTTTAAAAAAACTATGGTTAATTTGTTAAATGGGGTGGGGGAAGGAGGTGGACAAAATAGAAGGAAATATGGAGACTTTTAACAGGGTTGTAATTTACTTAGAAGGAGCAGGTAGAACTGAAAAATCCCATCCCCCAAATTACAAACTCATTGGATGGGTTTCATAAACACTCATAGAACTAAAGTCACACTTCTAGAGATTGAAGACAGAATTAGTGAACTTGAAGACAGATTAATAGAAGGTGTCTAAATTGAAGTAGAGAGAGAGAAAAAAAACAAGAAGGGAGTGGGGGGTAGGGAGCAGCCTAAGACAGATGGGAATTCATTATATGAGTGATTGGAGTTCCAGAAGGAGAGAGAGACGTTAGGACCAGAACAAACTGACAATGACTCCAACAGGAATAAGAAAGACCACTGATACACACAGCAACACTGATGAATCTCAAAGACGTTAAGTAAAGAAGTCAGACATGTTCGAATCCCACTTCTGACACCAAAAAAAAAAAAGGCAGACATGAAGGAGTGTATACTTTCCATCCCATTTCATGAAGTTCAAGAACAGGCAAAAACTAAGCAATAGAGAAGTCAAAACAGTGGTTACGTCTGAGGGGTACTGCTGACGGGAAGGGCTGTGAGCACGGAGGGGCACAGCTCCACCCCTGCAGGTCTCTACAGGGCCTTGTGGGCAAGGCTTGAGCAGTCTGCCTGGAGTCTTGACAGTCGGGAGAATGTGCTACAATTGCTCGAGGAGCAAGGGGACACGCAGCCATATTCTACTGTTGGTGACAGACAGCGGAGACTGGCCCACTCCCTTTGGGGAGCCGTCGTATGCCGAGTAGCAGCAGTCATATCAGCCCTTATTTTTGGCCCAGGTAACCTCGCTGCTGCGAAGCTGTCCTGAGGTCATCATTCAAAAAGAAGACAAATGTGAAATTAATGGAGATATTCATCGCAGTATGATTTATTCTGCTTCAAACTTACGAAACTCTGCCTGGCCGGTGTGGCTCAGTGGTTGAACATTGCCCTATGAACCAGGAGGTCACGGTTGGATTCCTATCAGGACACATACCCGCAATCTGAGGCAACCGATCCATGATTTTCTCTCATCACATGTTTCTACGCTCTCTCCCTCTTCCTTCCTCTCTGAAGTAAATTTTTAAAATTAAAAACAAAAAGCACACAGCCCTAACCAGTGTGGCTCAGTGGCTAGAGCAGTGATGGCAAACCTCTTGAGCTCGGCGTGCCAGCATTTTGAAAAACCCTAACTTAACTCTGGCGCCGTGTCACATAGAGACATTTTTTGATCTTTGCAACCATAGTTAAACAAAGACTTATATTTTTGATATTTTATATATTTAAATGCCATTTAACCAAGAAAAATCAACCAAAAAAAATAAGTTCGCGTGTCATAGGTTCGCCATCACTGGTCAAGAACATTGGCGTGTGGACTGAAGGGTCCCTGGTTCGATTCCCGTGAAGGGCACATGCCCGGGTTGCGGGCTCGATCCCCAGTAGGGGGCGTGCAGGAGGCAGCCGAGCAATGATTCCCTCTCATCATTGATGTTTCTCTCTCTCTCCCTTCCTCTCTGAAATCAATACAAATTTTGAAAAATATTAACACACACACACACACACACACACACACACACACACACACACACGATGACAAAACCCAGACGCCCAGTAAAAGGAGAATCACCAGACAACTATATGATGTTTCAGTGGTTGGGTGGCGAGCAGGGAAAGGATAGTGGCGGGTGCCCCCACCGACAGGAGGCAGCACCCCCGCCTGAGAACGCAGCAGCAGCAGAAGGTTCTCCGGGCGGAGCCGGGGCGGGAGGGGGAGCTCCCGCTGCTGTAGGATCGCGCGCCGCCTCCGGTGAGGTTTGCACCGAAGATGCACCGAAGAGCCCCGCGGCCCGCAGCGCGCACGGGCCGGGCGGGGACTGCGGCTGCGCACTGCGGCCGGGTCGCCGGCGCGGGGCGCACGGGAGGCGCGTGGCGGCCGGAGCGGGCGGGGCCGGGGCGGCGCCGCTGTCCCCGCCCCGCACGCAGCTCCGCCGGCGGCCGCGGGAGGAAGGGCCGGGCGGGCGCAGGGGAGCGCGCCGGCGGCCCTGGCCCCGCGGGAGCGCGGCTGCGGCGCGCGGAGTCGGGGCGGCGGGGGGCGGGCGGCCGCCTTCCCTGCGTCGCTGCCTGGCGCGGGCCGCCACCCGCGGGGATGCGAGGCCCGCGAGGCCCGGAGCGGCGCGAGGCCGGCCGCACACGGTAACGCGCCGGGCGGACGCGGAGGAGGGTCCTGCTGTCCCGCCGGGGCCCGGTGTGGGCAGCAGGAGTGCGAGCGGCGCCTCGGGGTCGGAGGCGGCCGGTCCCCGCGCCTCCCGTGCGCCCCGCACCGGGCAGCCGTCTCGGTCCCGGGACCGGCGGAGGCGGGGGTGGGGGGTGGCCGACCGGGCGCAGGTGCCTGCCTCCCGGGTGAACCCCCCCCACCCCCGCGCCCCCGTCTCTCTCCAGCTCCACCCACTTTGGCTCGGCACCGGCTCCCAAAGGCTAAAAATATTGCCCGGAGGCTCCTGAGCGGAACCGGACCGCGCTCAGCCGGGCACAGGGCACCGGCGACAGCGCTCCCGGCCCCGCACCGCCGGCTGCCGGCGGCCTCTCTCCGCGCAGCAGGCAAGTGGGGGCCCGCGGGCGGGGCAGCGGGCGCTGGTCGCCCGAAGTTACCTTCCTGTCCGGCCTGTCCCCTCCCTACCCAGGGGACCCCTTCAGCAGCGATCACTGCTGGCTTCCCGGGGGGGCCCCCCAAATGCGGTCCAAGCAGAGGGTGCAAGTTAGCTCCTGCGGCATCGGAACTAGCAGGGAAGGGACAGAGGACTCGGTCTGTGTGAGCGGCATCAGCTGCTCGTTTTTTTTCCATCCGTTCTGTATTTCCTAATGGGAGCGGGGCCGCCCGCCGAGCGCCAGCCTGGGCCCCGAGGGCAGGGAGAAAGCCTTCCCTGTGAGTCTCTGTGGGTCTTTAAATCAAAATAGCTGTTTATTCCTCTGGAACTAGAACCACGTGGTCCAGGAGCCAGGACGCCCACCTGCTGTGCCCGCTGTGTCTTCCCGGATCAGCTCTTGGGGGGGCTGGTTCCATCAGGAGGGTGTGTGGTGACCTCTGGAGTCAGAGCTGGGAAGTTTGTTATCTCGCGTGTTTTTTATAGCATCAACCTGGGGGTGGGGGGAGATCTGCTCTCCCAGGAGGAGGAGGCGGCAAGACCAGCCTCAGAGAACCGTCTGTGTCTCAGCCAAGAGAGTAGGATCCCCGGGGGGTGAGGACCCACACCGGGCGCTGGGACGTGCTGCTCTGGAGCTTGCAGTTCTGGGGAGTCGGGCAAATAGAGGTTCCTGGGGAGCAGCTCTTGGGATCCCCTTGGAGCGTTTGGTGGAAAGATCCCCAACGGGGTTTTGGCTGTTGGAGCTGAATACGGTGCCCTCCTGCCAGGTGTGTGCAGCGGCCAGGATGAAGCTGAAGAAGCAGGTGACGGTGTGTGGGGCCGCGGTCTTCTGCGTGGCCGTCTTCTCGCTCTACCTCATGCTGGACCGAGTGCAGCACGACCCCGCCCGGCACCAGAATGGCGGGAACTTCCCCCGGGTGAGTCAGGCCTGGCGGCTGAGGTCTTCACGCACAAGTCGTCAGGGCTCAGCGCCCAGCTGGAGGGCTATGTCCGCCCGGGACAAGAACACTGCTTCCCCCTGGGCAGCTTTCCTTTTTTTTTAAAAAAAATATATTTTTATTGATTTCAGAGAGGGAGAGAGAGTCATCAATCAGCTGCTTCCTGGCACGGCCCCTCCAGGGATCAAGCCCACAATCCAGGCATGTGCCCTTGACCGGATTCAAACCCGGGACCCTTCAGTCCACAGGCTGATGCTCTATCCATTGAGCCAAACCAGCCAGGGCTGGGCAGCTTTTCTTGAACCCGGACCTAAAAACAATGATGCCACGGAAGGAGGAGGGGGAAATGGCATGAGGGACTGCTGCTCTGTCTTGGGAATTCTTTTTTTTTCTTTTTTGATATATTTTTATTGATTTCAGAGAGGAAGGGAGAGGGAGAGAGAGAGAGAAACATCCATGATGAGAGAGAATCACTGATTGGCTGCCTCCTGCACGCCCCACACTGAGGATCGAGCCCGCAACCTGGGCATGTGCCCTTGACCAGAATTGAACCTGGGACCTTTCACAGGCCGATGCTCTATCCACTGAGCCAAACCGGGTAGGGCGGTCTCGGGAATCCTTGGCAGATATAATGGATTGCACCGTATGTTTCCACGGGGCCCGGATGCAGTCCTTGTGGGCACACAGGCGGCGCCGGGTGGAGAACAGGCATGTGAGGTGACACCTCGGCCTCCCGGAGCTAGAGGGCGAGGGTGCCCCCAGCCCAAGTGGGTCGCAGCCCTCCGGAGTGATTCGCGCCTCTTCCCTTATCTGGCCAGAGCCGTTGCCCCGTAGGCTCCTGGTTCTGCCTTCCTCGGGGCAGGCCAGGGTCACAGTCGGGCCTCAGGTGCGGGGCCGCAGGCCGAGAGCACCCCCGAGGCGGCAGGCAGGAGCGGAGGGTGACTGCTCTCTGGTTTTCTGGCAGAGCCAAATTTCTGTGCTGCAGAACCGCATCGAGCAGCTGGAGCAGCTGCTGGAGGAGAACCACGAGATCATCAGCCACATCAAGGAGTCCGTGCTGGAGCTGACCGCCAACGCCGAGGGCGCGCCCGCCCTGCTGCCCTACTACACGGCCAACGGCTCCTGGGTGGTGCCGCCGGAGCCCCGGCCCAGCTTCTTCTCCGTCTCCCCCCAAGACTGCCAGTTCGCTCTGGGGGGCCGGGGCCCGAAGCCGGGGCTGCAGGTAAGAGCCTGAGCCGGCGGGGCCCCTCGGGGCCCGGGGCGGCGCCACTGAGCCGGCTCCCGCTCGGCAGATGCTGACCGTGTCGGAGGAGCTGCCTTTCGACAACGTGGACGGCGGGGTGTGGAAGCAGGGCTTCGACATCTCCTACGGCCCCCACGACTGGGACGCCGAGGACCTGCAGGTGTTCGTGGTGCCGCACTCGCACAACGACCCAGGTGAGGGCCAGAGCGCCCCGTCGCCGGGCGTGGGGTGGGCTTGCTTTTTGAAAAAATTATGTTTATGGCTCTGGCTGGTTTGGCTCAGTGGATAGAGCATCGGCCTGCGGACTGAAGGGTCCCGGGTTCGATTCCGGTCAAGGGCACATGCCTGGGTTGTGGGCTCGATCCCTAGTAGGGGCTGTGCAGGATGCAGCCGATCGATGATTCTCTCTCATCATTGATGTTTCTCTCTCTCTCTCTCCCTCTCCCTTCCTTTCTGAAATCAATAGGAAATATATAAATATACATATACTTTTTTTTATATTTTATTGGTTTTTTACAGAGAGGAAGGGAGAGGGATAGAGAGTTAGAAACATCGATGAGAGAGAAACATCGATCAGCTGCCTCCTGCACACGCCCCACTGGGGATGTGCCCGCAACCAAGGTTCATGCCCTTGACCGGAATCGAACCTGGGACCTTTCAGTCCGCAGGCCGACGCTCTATCCACTGAGCCAAACCGGTTAGGGCTATATATACTTTTTTTATTGAGCAGATAAATCAATAGGAAATATATATATTTCAGAGAGTAAGGGAGAAAGAGCGAGAGATAGAAACATCAGTGATGAGAGAATCATCGATAGGCTGCCTCCGGCACGCCCCACACTGGAGATCAAGCCCGCAACCCCGGGGGCAGATGCCCTGACCGGGAACCGAACCGAACCGTGACCTCCTGGTTCATAGGTCGACGCTGAACCACTGAGCCCCGCCGGCCGGGCTCAGCGGGCCCCTGATGGCCAGGGTGAGGGAGAGACAGTCGAAGCGGGTGTGGCACCCTCAGGGGACCCTGTGTTGCTCCCCAGGCTGGATCAAGACCTTTGACAAGTACTACGCGGAGCAGACCCAGCACATCCTCAACAGCATGGTGACCAAGCTGCAGGAGGATCCCCGGCGCCGCTTCCTCTGGGCCGAGGTCTCCTTCTTCGCCAAGTGGTGGGACAACATCAGCGCCCAGAAGAGGGCGGCCGTCCGGAGGCCAGTGGCTGTCGGGAGGCGAGGGAGGGCCGTCCCCTGGGCCTAGGATGGGTGTGCAGGTCGCGCCCGAAGCTGTGGTCCCACTGTGGCGGGAGACGCCAGGGGACGCGTGCAGGGGTGAGGCGTGATGGCGGAGGGGCCAAGAATGAGATGGGAGGGGCCGAGAATGAGACGGAGGGAACCGGGTCGAGGGTCACTGTGTTAGGAGAGATCAGAGTTCTATGAGCCCAGAGAAGAGAAAGCCAGGAGCCCTGACCGGTTTGGCTCAGTGGATAGAGCGTCGGCCTGCGGACTGAGGGGTCGCGGGTTTGATTCCGGTCAAGGGCGTGTACCTTGGTTGCGGGCACATCCCCAGTGGGGGGTGTGCAGGAGGCAGCTGGTCGATGTTTCTCTCTCATCGATGTTTCTAACTCTCTATCCCTCTCCCTTCCTCTCTGTAAAAATATCAATAAAATATATTTTAAAAAAAAAAAAAAAAGAAAGAGAAAGCCAGGAGCCAGGCCCCTGGACGCTCAGGTGGCGTCCGCAGGTCAGCAGGACCAAGACAGCAGGGAAGTGGGCTGGCGGGAAAGGAGAGCCCGTGTCCGTCCCCTTGGCCCCAGGTTCGCGTGAGCTGGCCCAGTGAGGCCATGCGCCCGGGTCCCAGCATCTTCTGTTTGGCACGACTGGGCAGATGCCCCCCTCCCGCCCCCACGCTGAGTGTGAGTCCTTCACTGCAGGCTGGTGGGCAACGGGCAGCTGGAGATGGCCACCGGAGGCTGGGTGATGCCCGACGAGGCCAACTCCCATTACTTTGCATTGATCGACCAGCTCATCGAGGGACACCAGTGGCTGGAGAAGAATCTCGGTGAGGCAGGCTCCGGAGAGGGCGTCTGCCCCAGAGCTGGGCCCAGAGGGTAGCTGGGGGCTGTCAGGTGCAGGGTTGGCAGATGGTGGTGCCGTGGTGTGCTAATTCCCCCATCCGGGGCCCGGGGTGATGGCAGGAAGGGAGCTGGAGGTGGGACCCTCCCGGGAGGCCCCGCGTGGGGTGTTCAGGGCTCTGGCTTCCGTTCCCCTGCCCAGGTGTGACCCCGCGCTCGGGCTGGGCCGTGGACCCCTTCGGACACAGCCCCACCATGGCTTACCTGCTGCGCCGTGCCAACCTGACCAGCATGCTGATTCAGAGGGTACACTATGCTATCAAGAAGCACTTCGCTGCCACCCACAGCCTGGAGTTCATGTGGAGGCAGAGCTGGGGTAAGGCCAGGCAGGGTGGAGGGGGTGACCGTGGTCGCCCTCCCTGGGGCAGGGCAGGGGCCTCAGAGCAGGTCACCACGGGGGCACTGCGTCTTTCTGAGCCCTCCCTCGTCCTGACCCTTGACCTGCACGGTCTCTGCAGCCTTAAGTCTAGGTTGAGCCTCTCCCCCTCCCTTTTTTTTTTAATCCTCACCCCAAGATATTTTTCCATTGATTTTCAGAGAGAGTGGAAGAGAGAGAGAAAGAGAAACATCGATGTGAGAGAAACACATCGATTGGTTGCCTCCTGCATGTGCCCAGATCAGGGCCCGGGCCAGGCAGGAGCCTGCAACTGAGGTACATGCCCTTGACCAGAATCGAACCCGCAGGCCAACGCTCTAGCCACTGAGCCACACCAGCCGGGGCCGAGCCTCCCCTTCCTCGGGGCTGCCTGCAGCTGGGGCGGATCGCTGTCCTGCGGGTGCCCCTGTGCCCAGCTCCCGACACGGCCGGCCGGGGGCTGACTGCCCGCCGTGTCCTCTTCAGACTCGGACTCCAGCACAGACATCTTCTGCCACATGATGCCCTTCTACAGCTACGACATCCCCCACACCTGCGGCCCGGACCCCAAGATCTGCTGCCAGTTCGATTTCAAACGCCTGCCTGGCGGGCGCATCAACTGCCCGTGGAAGGTGCCTCCTCGCGCCATCACCGAGGCCAATGTGGCCGAGAGGTACGGCCGCCTGCCCGGGCTCTGCTGCTGGGGGCTTCGTACGAGGGGAGCAGGCTCAGGGGTGGGGTGTCAGGCCCGCGGCCACTTTGGTGGCAGCTCCCTGACGAGTCTCCCTGGAGAGCGGAGTGGCTCTAAGGACCGCCTTTCCCACACGGTTTTACTTCCTAAATGAGCACGTTTTCCTGCCCTCACAAACTGTCAGCCGCGTGGCTGACCCACAGGAGGATAATTCTCAGATCGGTACAGTTCCTTCCAACCCTCAGCCTGATGTCACCTTGGGCATCTTGCTTTAGCTCAACGTCAATCGGACCCTCCGTGTTCCAGGAACCCCGAACCCCAAACCCCGCTCAGGGGTGCTCGTGGTCTGCCCAGCAGCCTCCCGCCCCTGAGAAAGCAGGCTCGTTCCCTTTGAGACAATCCCCGGGGACCCCTAGAATGTCGCTGTGGCTGAAATCGGCCCCTGGGAAGGTGCAGGTTAAGAGGGATCAGAAACGGCGATTTAGCCAGAACCAGTCTGGCCTTAAGAATACAACAGGTCGAACTGGTTTCCAGGGAGCAGCCTCCAATTTCCATGATGTCCGAGAGGTAAGAGAACATGTGACCGGAGGGAGAGAGAGCGGTCTTTTGTTTCCAGATCCAGAAACCTAACTGCGGCTCCCAGACAAACACCGAGGCTCAGGCTGCGGAGGCAGGACTTTTCTTTTATTATTTTTTTTAATTAAAATATTTAGCCCTGACTGGTGTTGCTCAGTGGATAGAGCGTCAGCCTGCGGACTGAAGGGTCCCGGGTTCGATTCCGGCCAAGGGCATGTACCTTGGTTGCGGGCACATCCCCAGTAGGGAGTGTGCAGGAAGCAGCTGATCGATGTTTCTCTCTCATCAATGTTTCTTTTTTTTTTTTTTTTTTATATTTTATTGATTTTTTACAGAGAGGAAGGGAGAGAGATAGAGAGTCAGAAACATCGATGAGAGAGAAACATCCATCAGCTGCCTCCTGCACACTCCCTACTGGGGATGTGCCCGCAACCAAGGTACATGCCCTTGGCCGGAATCGAACCCGGGACCCTTGAGTCCGCAGGCCGACGCTCTATCCACTGAGCCAAACCGGCTTCGGCTCATCAATGTTTCTAACTCTCTATCCCTCTCCCTTCCTCTCTGTAAAAAATCAATAAAATATATTTTTTAAAAAATTTATTATTATTTTTAATCCTCACCAGAGGATATTTTTCCATTGGTTTTTAGGAAGTGTGGGAGAGAGAGGGAGAAACAGTGATGTGAGAGGGACACATCGATGGGTTGCCTCCTGCACGCGCCCCGACCAGGGCCCGGGCCGGAAAGGAGCCTGCAACCGAGGTGCGTGCCCTTGACCGGAATCGAACCCGGGACCCTGCAGTCCATAGGCCGACGCTCTATCCACTGAGCCACACTGGCAGGGTGAGGCAGGATTTTCCTTGGCGCAGCCTCCGTGGGCCACAGGTGCCAGCCCAGGTGTGCAGCAAGCCGGTCACGGAGTAACTTCATTTTCTCCTCTGAAGGACTTCCTCGGTGGGTAAACGAGGGGGAAATGGTATTTGAGGAGTCCTCTCCTGAAAGCAAAATAGAAAAGTAGAAGCTGACCAGCACGGTTAAGTAGCTTAGTAGCTACTTGAACTGCGACACCAAAATATGATATACCATATATTTTTTTAAAATATATCTTTATTGATTTCAGAGAGGAAGGGAGAGGGAGAGAGAAATAGAAACGTTAATGATAAGAATCATTGATCGGCTGCCTCCTGCATGCCCCCCACTGGGGATCAAGCCCACAACCCGGGCATGTGCCCTTGACCGGAATCGAACCTGGGACCCTTCAGTCCACAGGCTGATGCTCTATCCACTGAGCCACACCAGGTAGGGCTACCATATTTTTGTAGGTTGATCTGAGAAGAGAAAGGGTTTGGCTCAGCGGTTGAGCATTGACCCAGGAACCAAGAGGTCACCGGTTCGATCCCTGGTCAGGGCACATGCCCGGGTTGCCAGCTCCATCCATCCCAGTGCGGGGCGTGCAGGTGGCAGCCGGTCCATGATTCTCTCTCATCATTGATGTTTCTCTCTCTCTCCCTCTCCCTTCCTCTCTCTCTGTAAAATCAATAAAAATATTTTTTTTTCAAAAAGAGAAAGGGGCTTTGATGATATGCTACAGGTACCTGCTTGTTTATTAATTTTACCAGTAACTTGGATGAAAAGGAAAATAAATGTTTATATATAGTTCCTACCAGGTGCCAGGCAGGGTTCCCGTGTTCTAGCAAGTACTAGTTCATGCAGTTTATTTTATTTCTCATAATGGTGTGATGGCGGATACTGATATTATCCTCATTTCATAGGAACTGAGGCCCAGAGAGGTTCAGTCGCTGGCTCAGGGCCACTCAGAGAGTGCGGGCGGAGCTGGCGTTGGCACGGTCCAGCCCCTGAGTGCAGGCCCTCCCTCCAGGGCTGCCTCACTCACTGGTGGACAGAGGAAGCCGGAGTGTCAGGGAGGGTCTGGATCCCAGCAGTTTGGGATGTGGGTCAAATCTGACACCTAAGGTTTATTAGGCACAGGTGTGAGTTTCCACCCTGCGCTCCAGAAAACAATAGAAACTTCAGGGCGAGGAGATACGACCTTGAGAGCCACACGCATGGAGAAACGGCACCTGACGTTAGCACCGTGGGGGCTGCCAGCCACACCCACGTGGACACACGCCACTCCCATGGGAGCACCAGCCGGAACAGGGCGGGCTCTGTCTTCCCTGTGGGCTGGCCCCCCCTCGTCCCCTGTATCCAACACTGGGTCCCTGCACGGAGGAGGGTGGGCACATCTTTGGTATGTTTCAATATATATTTTATTGATTTCAGAGAGGAAGGGAGAGGGAGAGAGAGAGAAACATCAATGGTGAGAGAGACTCATGGATCAGCTGCCTCCTGCACGCCCCCCACTGGGGATCGAGCCCGCAACCCGGGCAGTGCCCTTGACTGGGAATCGAACTCGGGACTCTTCAGTCCCCAGGCCAACGCTCTGTCCACTGGGCCAAGCTGCTTAGGGCCTTTGGTGTGTTTGAAGGAGACTCACAGGGAAGGAGGACTGGTCTGCTGTGTGTGGGGCCCCGGGATGGAAGCCATACCTGCAGCCCAGCACGGGCAGCTCTCCGCCCGTCAGCACTGGAGAGCGCTGGGCTCAGGACGGGGTCCCACCCCCCAGGCGGGCACCTGCAGGCCGGGACTCCCACCCCCACGGGGGCTCCGCTCAGCATCCTGTCCCCCCCCCCCCCCTCCCCAGGGCAGCGCTGCTCCTGGACCAGTACCGCAAGAAGTCCCGGCTCTTCCGCAGCAACGTGCTGCTGGTGCCGCTGGGCGACGACTTCCGCTACGACAAACCCCAGGAGTGGGACGCCCAGTTCTTCAACTACCAGCGGCTCTTCGACTTCCTCAACAGCAAGCCCGAGCTGCACGTGCGGGTGCGGCCGCCGCCCCTCCGGAGGCCCCCCACCTTCCCGGGGCTTCCCTTTTCTAATCTTTCTTTTTTTTAAAGGGTTATTTTTTATTTACTCATTTATCATGTTTCTGTCAATCCTCACCCAGGGATATTTTTCCATTGATTTTTATAGGGAGTGGAAGGGGGAGGGGGAGAGAGAGAAACATCGATGTGAGAGAGACAGATTGATTGGTTGCCTCCTGCACGCACCCCAACCAGGGCCGGGGCCGGGGAACCTGCCACTGAGGTACATGCCCTTGACCAGAACCGAACCCGGGGCCCTTCAGTCCACGGGCCGACATGCTACCCACTGAGCCAAACCGGCCAGGGCCATACTTTATTTTTTATTTTTATTTTTTTTTAATATATTTTTTATTGATTTCAGAGAGGAAGGGAGATGGAGAGAGAGAGAGAAATATCAATGATGAGAGAGAATCATTGATCGGCTGCCTCCTGCACGCCCCCTACTGGGGATCGAGCCCGCAACCCAGGCATGTGCCCTGACTGGAATCGAACCCAGGACCATTCAGACCACAGGCTGACGCTCTATCCACTGGGCCAACCCAGCTAGGGCTATTTTTATTTTTTAAGTAAACTTTTTATTGTTGATAGTTGATATTTATAATAGATATTTCCCCTTTCCCCCCATCCTCCCAGCCCCTACTCATCCCCCCAGGTCTTCACCACCCTATTGCTGTGTCCATGGGCTGTGCCTATAACTATATGAGTTCTTTGGTTTATCTCTTCTCGTCCCCCAGCCCCACATCGAGCTGTGTCAGTCTGTTCCATGCCTCCCTGCTTTGCCTCTTATTTTGTTGGTCATTCATTCTGTTCATTAGATTCCACCGATAAGTGAGATCATGTGATGTTTGTCTTCCCATCTGCCAGAATTCCCTCCCAGGCCCCCAGCGGGGGGGTGAGGCCGGAGGGTGGCAGGGACAGGGACTGCGTAGACGGGATCCCGGCCGCAGCACTGGGCCCCGTTCCCAGGAGGCTCTGGCACTGAGGGGAACGGGTCTTCGGGGTCCCCACAGGCCCAGTTTGGCACCCTCTCCGACTACTTCGACGCCCTGTACAAGAGGACGGGGGTGGAGCCGGGGGCCCAGCCCCCGGGGTTTCCCGTGCTGAGCGGAGATTTCTTCTCCTACGCGGACCGGGAGGACCATTACTGGACCGGCTACTACACCTCCCGGCCGTTCTACAAGAGCCTGGACCGCGTCCTGGAGGCCCACCTGCGGTGAGCCCGGCGGGCGGCCGGGGTGGAAGGCGGGGGGCATGGGGCGGGGGGCCTGGGAGTCCTGGGACGGGCGGGCTGCTGACTCCTCTCTCTGCACAGCGGGGCGGAGATTCTCTACAGCCTGGCAGCCGCTCACGCCCGCCGCTCCGGCCTGGCCAGCCAGTACCCGCTCTCGAACTTCGCCCTCCTGACCGAGGCCCGGCGCACCCTGGGGCTCTTCCAGCACCACGACGCCATCACGGGCACTGCCAAGGAGGCCGTCGTGGTGGACTACGGGGTCAGGTGCGGGCCTGCCCACCCCCCCAGAGGAAGGCCGGGTGGGGCGGCCGCGGGCAGCGTGGGCAGCGTGTGTGGTCGTCTCCCCCACGGTCCCTCTCCCGTCCCCCAGGCTGCTGCGCTCCCTCGTCGGCCTGAAGCAGGTCATCATCAACGCGGCTCACTACCTGGTGCTGGGGGACAAGGAGGCCTACCGCTTCGACCCCGCGGCGCCCTTCCTCCACATGGTGAGCCCCGTCCCGGGCCTGCTCAGGGGACCCCCTGGCGTGGGCTGGGGGGTGGGGTCTTCCTCCTCTTTCCCTGCCCTGTCCTGGGGTGCGGTCTGTGCCCAGTGCAGCTGCTGGTCCCCACCCAGGACACGGGTGGGGCGGCGGCAGGATGCTGAGTCAGGCCGAGTCCTGGATCTTCCCACCGTTTTTTTTTAATTTTTTTTTTTTAAATATATTTTATTGATTTTTTACAGAGAGGAAGGGAGAGAGATAGACAGTTAGAAACATCGATGAGAGAGAAACATCGATCAGCTGCCTCCTGCACATCTCCTACTGGGGATGTGCCCGCAACCCAGGTACATGCCCCTGACCGGAATCGAACCCGGGACCTTTCAGTCCGCAGGCCGATGCTCTATCCACTGAGCCAAACCGGTTTCGGCTTCCCACCGTTTTTTTTTAATACATTTTTTTAAATTGATTTCAGAGAGGAAGGGAGAGGGAGGGAGAGAAACATCAGTGATGAGGGAGAATCATGGATCAGCTTCCTCCTGCACGCCCCCTACTGGGACCATATGCCTTTGACTGGATTCGAACCCAGGACCCTTCAGTCCACAGGCTGATGCTCTATCCACTGACCTGAACCAGCTAGGGCTCCTTCTCACTTTTTTTTTTTTGAAATAAGAATGCCATTAATTTTATTTTTTTAATATATTTTTATTGATCTCAGAGAGGAAGGGAGAGGGAGAGAGAGATAGAAACATCCATGATGAGAGAGAATCGTGGATCGGCTGCCTCCTGCACGCCCCCTTCTGGGGATCGAGCCTGCAACCCGGGCATGTGCCCTTGACTGGGAATCGAACCTGGGACCCTTCAGTCCACAGGCCGGCGCTCTATCCATTGAGCCACACCAGCTAGGGCCTTCCCACCGTTTAATTCCAGGATGACACCCGCTTAAACCACGATGCCCTGCCGGAGCCCACGCTGATCCAGCTGGACTCCTCGCCCAGGTAAGCCGGACCAGCCGCGCCCGGGGCAGAGCTGCTCCCCGACCCCCCCGCACCCCTGCACCCCTCCCCCACACACTCCCCCTCCTCCCCCCCCACACCTGCCACAGGCGCAGAGGCCTCCTGGCGAGCTCACGCTCCACCCCCAGGTACGTGGTGCTCTTCAACCCGCTGGACCAGGAGCGGCTCAGCGTGGTGTCCCTGCTCGTCAGCTCGCCCCGGGTGCGCGTCCTGTCGGACGAGGGCCAGCCCCTGGCCGTGCAGGTCAGCGCCTACTGGAGGTCCGCCACCGACATGGTCCCCGACGTCTACCAGGTGACCCTCTGCCCATCCTGGGCCTCTGTCCCTCGGCACCAGCCTCCCGCCCTCCTCCGTGCTCCCCGGGTTGGGGACCGGGGTCCTGGGGGAGGGGTTGCCCAGAGGACAGTCGCTTGTGAGGTTTCTGTCCTCGAAGGGAAGGCGAGGTCTGGGATAGTCCTGGTGAGAGTCAGCGTGGCATTCTGTTGCCTGCCGTTCATCCTTTCAGCAAACCTGTATTTTTTCATTTGTTTTAAATAATATTTACGATTTCAGAGAGGTATAGAGAGATAGAAACATCAACGATGAGAGAGAATCATGGACGACCTGCCTCCTGCACGCCCCCTACAGGGGATCGAGCCTGCAACCCAGGCATGTGCCCTGACCGGGAATCGAACCCGGGACCCTTCAGTTCGCAGGCCGAGGCTCTGTCCACTGAGCCAGACCGGCCAGGGCTCAGCAGACCTTAGCGTGGGGCTGCCACTTCATCGTCTCCCAGTGTCATTGAGATTCATAACAGTCTGCCCAGGGGCAGGCAATACCACCTCCCCTTCCCCAGGAGGGGACGGAGGCCGGTGGGTGCAGGGCCTTGTTCAGGCCCAGGACCCGCATCCCAGGCCTGTGCCCAGAACTGACGCCGGGCTGTGCCCTGTGCCCCCTGTGCCGTAGGTGTCCGTGCCCGTCCGCCTGCCGGCGCTGGGCCTGGGCGTCCTGCAGCTGCAGCCCGGGCTGGACGCCCACCGCACCCTGCCCTCCTCCGTGCGCGTCTACCTGCACGGCCGGAAGCTGGCCGTCAGCCGGCACGAGGCCTTCCCCCTCCGCGTCATGGACTCCGGCCCCGGCGACTTCGCCCTCAGCAACCGCTACATGCAGGTCTGGTTCTCAGGCCTTAGCGGGCTCCTCAAGGTAAGGCCCGGCGGGAGCCCGAGGGTGCGGGAGCCGCGGGAGCCGGGGGCCGGGGGCCGGGAGCACGCCGCCGCCCGGCTGACATGGGCCTCGGGGGACTGGGCTCGGCTCCTGGGGACGTTCGTGCGCCCTCCCGGGGGCAGGCCTGACATGCCGGCGTGGGGCCAGGGGTCAGGGCTGTGTTTCTCGGCAGAGCGTCCGAAGGGTGGACGAGGAACGCGAGCAGCGCGTGGACATGCAGTTCCTGGTCTACGGCACCCGCACGTCCAAGGACAAGAGTGGCGCCTACCTCTTCCTGCCTGACGGCGAGGCCCAGGTACCCAGGGGCACGGCGGGAACCCCGGGGGCTGGGGCCTCGCTCCCGGGCACAGGAGACCTGTGGACGGGGCAGTGAGGAGGGCCTGGGCCTTCCTCCGGGGTGGGGCCTGCTGGGGCCTGGCCTGGGCTGCCTCTGAGAGGCGGGGCGGGGAGCTCAGCCGGGGGGCTTGGCCCAACTCAGCCAGGGTCTCAGGCCGGAGCCTGCTGGGCACAGCTCCTTCCCGGCCTGGCCCTGGGCTGGCCCCTCCCTGCTCTGCACTGTGCCGGGGCTCAGTGCCACCTGCTCTCTCCCAGCCCTACGTGCCCAAGGAGCCCCCCGTGCTGCGTGTCACCGAAGGCCCCTTCTTCTCGGAGGTGGCGGCGTACTACGAGCACGTCCACCAGGTGGTCCGGCTCTACAACCTGCCAGGTGCGCCCGCGGAGGAGGAGGGCAGACAGGAGGTGCGGGCCCAGGGCTGTGCCATGCGCTCCCTCCCGCCCGGCCCTGTCGGGACAGCTGTTCCCGACCCGTGGTCGTCTGAGGCAGGGATGATGCTTAATTGGTTCTCTGGGCGTCAAGGTGGCCCAGGAAGAAACGCTGGGGATGGGCTGGGGGTGGGCGCAGCCTGTCCAGCCGCCTCCGGCCGCGGCTCAGCCTCACACGCTCCCTCTGTCCCTGTGCCCAGGGGTGGAGGGGCTGTCGCTGGACTTGTCGTCGCTGGTGGACATCCGGGACTACGTCAACAAGGAGCTGGCCCTGCGCATCCGCACGGACATCGACAGCCAAGGCACCTTCTTCACCGACCTCAACGGCTTCCAGGTGACGGGGGGCCCGGGGACCCCTCGGAACAGAACTCGGGCTGGGTTTTGCTTCCGGAAGTCGGAGGCACTGGGGCGAGGTCAGGAGGGGTGCCCGCCCTGATGGAGAAGAGGAACCAGGCGAGAGTGGCCGGGGACCCCTTCAGACTGGGGACCCCCTGGGGCCCACGTCGGGGCCTGGATGCCCTTGACCCGCTGGCCTTGCCCCCCAGGTGCAGCCCCGGCGGTACCTGAAGAAGCTGCCCCTGCAGGCCAACTTCTACCCCATGCCCGTCATGGCCTACATCCAGGACGCCCAGAGCCGGCTCACCCTGCACACGGCACAGGCCCTGGGCGTCTCCAGCCTCCACAACGGTGAGTGGGACCAGGAGCTGCGTGGGGGGCAAAGGGCAAGAGAGGACGTGCATCCTGCCCCCCCGCCCCCCAGCCTCTCCGCTCTCTAGTCCCCCCTCTCTTTCCAATTTGCATCACCGCCCCCTGCCCCCGTTCCATCCCCTGTGTGAGAGGGGGCGAGCCATTAGCAGCTGCCAGTCACAGGCGCCACTGTCACCCTCCCCCCTGATGGAGGCGCCTGGGGGTGGGTGCCCCTCAAGAGGCATCAGAATATTGAACAGTGATTCTCTCTTTTTTAAAAAGAATTATTTTTTATTGATTTCAGAGAGGAAGGGAGAGGGAGAGAGAGAGAAACATCAGCGATGAGAGAGAATCATTGCTCGGCTGCCTCCTGCATGCCCCCTACTCAGAATCGAGCCCGCAACCCGGGCATGTGCCTTGGCTGGGAATCGAACCCGGGACCTCTTGGTCCATGGGATGACGCTCAATCCACTGAGCCACCACAGCCTGGCTGAAGGTTGGTTCTCCGCTGAGCTGTGCCAGGGATGGGAGAGGGACAGTTGGAAAAGTGCGTCGGTGTTGTAGTGAATTATTTAGCAAAGGAGAAAAGGGTGTTCTGTTTTCCTACTCACGGTCATTAAAAAGGAGAATGACATTCTTAAGAATCACAACAAGGGCAAGAGGTGCCGTAGCCTGGAGCTGGGCAGCCAGGCGAGTGAGCCGGTGCCTCCGTGCCCTGAGGGCGATGTGCACAGCTTGCACCTTCAGCTCTTCCTTCCCACGGAGCCGCTGTGCAGGGCTGAGCCGAGGCCTGTCCGGGCTGTGCAGGGGCCGGCGATGAGGGCTGTCCGGGCCGTGCGGGGCCGGCGGTGAGGCCTGTCCGGGCTGTGCGGGGGCTGGCGGTGAGGCCTGTCCGGGCTGTGCGGGGCCGGCGGTGAGGGCTGTGCTGGGAGAGTGACGCCTTCCCCGGGGTCACCCGGCTTAGAACTTCCTCTGGTCTGTCTGTCTGCCCCTGGGCTGTGTCCACGGTTGGCACTCTCTGCCCTTCCGGGAAACAGTGTGCTAAGAAATGATTATTTATTAATTTGAGAGGTGGGGGGAGGGAGAGAGAAAAAGAAGAAAAAGAAAACCACATTGATTCTTTGTTTCACTTACTCGTGCATTCATCGATTGATTCCTGCATGTGCCCCTACCGGGGATCGAACCCACAACCTGGGCCCATCGGGATGATGCTCTGACCAATGAGCTACCCAGCCAGGGTCTAAGGAATGACTGTTGTATGTGCAGGAGCCTGTTTGGGGCTTTTCAGCTACCTTCCTGTGATTGCTCGGTGAAGACTGCGGCCCCGCCGACATGAGAACCAGGGCTGGGATGGAGGAGAGGCGGGAGGGCCGTGTGTGTGTGTGTGTGTGTGTGTGTGTGTGTGTGTGCGTGTCTGTGTGTGTAAACCTTCCAGAGGTCCTTTAAAAAGCAGGCGCCGGGAGAACCCTCACCCCAGCAACATAGGCCAGCCTTGCAGGGCACCCCGTCCCCAGGCGCATGCCAGAGAGAGCACCCAGGCGGTCACTGCCGTCTCTTTTCCCCTGGGCAACCCCCACGACCCCGCCTCCCAGCCTCTGCCCGACGCGCCGTCTGGCTGTCCTCGCGCCGCCCTCCCGCCCGGGGAGGCGGGCAGAGCAGGACTCTGTCCCCACGTGGAGCAGGCGCGGAGAGCGTGTGTGAACTGCCCGGTTAGGCCTGGGAGCGGCTGCTGGAGGCTGGCCGTGCTCCTGTCCGGACATCTGGCTGGGCCCCTGGGGAGTCACGGGGCAGGGCCGTGTGTCGGGGTGGCCCGCCCCTGCCCGGCCTCTGGTGTCCTCCTCTGCGAGGCCAGCCCTTCATGGACCCCCGTCCCAGCTCTAGGTCCCAGGGCTCCTTTCCCTCCCGAGTGATTCAGCTTCTGCCCCCCCCCGCCCCTCGGGCTTCCCCCCGGGTTCTGTGGCTGGGTTCTTCCCAAGGTCACTGTCGGCTCCCGCCGGGGCTCACAGTTCACGCCCGCAGGCCAGCTGGAGGTGATCCTGGACCGGCGGCTGATGCAGGACGACAACCGAGGCCTGGGCCAGGGGCTCAAGGACAACAAGAGGACCCGCAACCACTTCCGCCTCCTCTGGGAGCGGCGCACGCTGGGCAGTGAGGTAGGGTCGGGGCCTCCCTCCCGGGGGTGGCCCTGGGGTGCAGCGAGGGCTCGGGGAGCACAGCTAGAGCTGGACAGGGATGGCGAGAGGACGGCCTGGTGCCTGGGTCAGGGGCGGTCAGTCTAACACCCTGAAGCTCCATTTCATGCAGCCTGGCGCCCCCCTCCCCCTGCACCCCGTCTCCAGTGCCCTGTGCTCACCTCCACCTCCCTCTCTGCACCTCCCCCGACCCTTTCCCTCAGCCCCCTGGTTCCCCAGTCCTCTCTCTCCCAGTCCCTCTCATCTCCTGGCTTTTTAAAAAAACATTTACATTTTAATACCTTTTTTAAAAAAGTATTTTTTTATTGACTTCAAAGAGGGAGGGAGGAGAGAGGGATAGAAACATCAATGATGAGGGAGAATCATTGATCAGCTGCCTCCTGCACGCCCCCCACTAGGGATCCAGCCGCCAGCCGGGGCACGTGCCCTGATTGAGAATCGAACCCATGACCTCCTGGATCATAGGTCCACACTCAACCACTGAGCTACACCGGCAGGGCCTGGCTGCTTTCTCTCCAAACTGGCACCTTGTTTAGGGCCTCGGTCTATTAGCAGCAGGAGCGTAACCGAGAGACAGGGGCCGGCAGTGGGTGCTGAACTAGTGTCACTGAGCCAGTTGTGGCTGGAATTGGAGCGGCTGCAGCCTGCCCCTCCGTCCGCCGTGTCTGTGCCTCCAGTAGAGCCTGAGCTCTGAGATACTGACTCTGCTCTCTGGGAATTTACTCGTGGTATGCGTGGGGGCTAAGCCATGTGTGTGGAAAGATCAGGTACAAGACGGTGTGTCCACTGGTTCTGAGGAGCCGGAGAACGTTGTGGTCCGAGGGGGTCAAGGGCAGCATCCTGAAGGAGGGGCCCCCCAGGCCCGGCTCTGATGAATGAGGGTCTGCTCTCCACCCATGGCCCAGGGCACAGCAGGAAAGACCCATCTGAATGGGGAGGAGCAGCGAATCCACTCGGACTAGAGCTGCCTGACCAGCGTGGGAGCCATGCGGCCGTTTAAGTTCATTAGAGCTACGCCGGCCGGCGTGGCTCAGTGGTTGAGCATCGACCTATGAACCAGGAGGTCACGGTTCGATTCCCGGTCAGGGCACATGTCCGGGTTGCGGGCTCGATCCCCAGTGTGGGGCGTGCAGGAGGCAGCCGGTCCATGATTCTCTCTCATCATTGATGTTTCTTTTTTTTTTTTTTTTAATATATTTTATTGATTTTTTTACAGAGAGGAAGGGAGAGAGATAGTTAGAAACATCGATGAGAGAGAAACATCGATCAGCTGCCTCCTGCACGCCCCCCACCGGGGATGTGCCCACAACCCAGGTACATGCCCTTGACCGGAATCGAACCTGGGACCTTTCAGTCCGCAGGCCGACGCTCTATCCACTGAGCCAAACCGGTTTTGGCTCATCATTGATGTTTCTATCTTTCTCCCCGTCTCCCTTCCTTTCTGAAATCAATAAAAAAAATATACAAAATAAATAAAATAAAAATCAATGGGAAAATAACATCGGGTAAGGATTAACAAAAAAACATATAAAAACAAATTCAAAAACAATAAATTAATTGGAGCTACATAGAACAACCAATGAGTTCTTCACTCAGACGGCCGCATGTCAGTGCTTGGTGGCCACAGGTGACCAGTAGCGACCGTATTGTAGAAGCAGCACCTTCCCATTGTTGCAGGGGCCCTGCCAGCGCTGGGCCAGCACGGGGTCTTGGCGGCAGATGGCAGTGGCCTTGAATGCCTGGCTAGGAGTCTGGGCTTTGCTCTGGAGGCCACTGCAGGATGTGAGGTGGGAGGGACATTGTTGGGACTGCCCTAAGCACATCACTCTCACAGGAGGGGCGCGGGGTGTGTAGGAAGAGAGACTGGAGGCTGGGGTGCCAGTTGAAAGGCCGTTCAAGCCCCAGCCAGTTTGGCTCAGTGGATAGAGCGTCGGACTGAGGACTGGAGGGTCCCAGGTTTGATTCCAGTTAAGGGCACATCCCTAGGTTGCGGACTTGATCCCCAGTGCGGGGTGTGCAGGAGGCAGCAGAACAATGATTCTCTCTCATCACTGATGTTTCTCTCTCTCTACCTCTCCCTTTCCCTTCCTCTCTGAAATCAGTAAAATATATATTTTTTAAAAGACTGGAGGCTGCGGTGCCAGTTGAAAGGCCATTCAAGCCCTGGCTGGTTTTGCTCAGTGGGTAGAGCGTTGGCCTACAGACTGAAGGGTCCCGGGTTCGATTCCGATCAAGGGCACATGTCTGGGTTGCAGGCTCGGTCCCCAGTGTGGGAACTGCTGGGGGCAGCCGATCCATGATTCCCTCTCATTATTGATGTTTCCGTCTCTCTCCCTCTCCTCCTCTCTGAAACCAATACAAACATATATTTTAAAAAGAAAGGCCATTCAAGCAGGAAAGGCTGGTGGCTTGAACCTGAGCCATGGGAGGGAGAAGTCGGGTGGATGTGAGGACACAGCAGGGGTGGGACTGGAGACCAGGCAGAGGGAAGTGGGGTTCTGGGCAAGGGGAAGGGAGGCGGGACTAGGGACAGAGCTGCAGCACGGGGGACAGTCCAGCGCAGCCTGTGAGTGTGAGGTCCAGGTCAGCCACCCAAGGGTGTCAGTCGGCTCAGCGTGGGGGCCGCTGGGCCGGGGTTCAGGGCGCTGCTGTGGCCGTGGAGGGTCGCTCAGGGGCCCTTCTCCATCAGCCCGGGTCCCCTGGCGGAGAGCACGTCTGCCTGCCGCCCTGCCTGCCCTGAGAACCTGACCTGTGACGGGAGGTCGCTGAGGGGAGTGTGCTGTTCACAATAGTGTCATGAGAGCAAAAAAACCACAAAAAGTAGAGGAGAGTGAAGTGGCCCCCCGCCTTTTTAAAATTGATTCCAGAGAGGAAGGGAGAGGGAGAGAAACATCAATGATGAGAGAATCATGATGGGCTGCCTCCTGCACGCCCCACACTGGGCGCGAGCCTGCAACCCGGGCACGTGGCCCGACCGGGAATCAAACCGTGACCTCCTGGTTCCGAGGTCAGTGCTCAACCCCTGAGCCACGCCGGGCCGGGAGCCCTTTCCAAGTGTGTGCGATGGGAGGTGGCCACACTTGAAGGGTCCTGGAGCCAGGCCCCCCTGTACCCAGACCCATCAGGGAAGCTCTTTCCAAAGGAACTGGCCGGGTTGTATTTCATCCTCGCCCTCACCCCTCACCCACATCTCGGGCCAATCTTGCAGGTGTCAGATGGCCACTCCACCAGCTACCCGTCCCTCCTCAGCCACCTGACCTCCGTGTACCTGAATGCCCCGGTGCTTGCCCTGCCCGTCGCCAAGCGGCAGCCCCCGGCTCCCGGCCTGCGCTCATTTCATCCTCTGGCTTCCTCGCTGCCCTGTGACTTCCACCTGCTCAACCTGCGCACGCTCCAGGCTGAGGTGAGGATCCCGCTCAGCCCCGGATCTCCAGGACCAAATTATGGCCTGTCCTCACTTACCCAGGCTCCGCTTTGTCCCAGCACTGCCTTCGGGGCAGCAGTGCTGCTGCACCTGTGAGCCCCGGGGAGCATCTGTGAGCCCCGGGGGAGCATCTGTGAGCCCCGGGGGAGCACCTGTGAGCCCCGGGGAGCATCTGTGAGCCCCGGGGGAGCATCTGTGAGCCCCGGGGGAGCACCTGTGAGCCCCGGGGAGCATCTGTGAGCCCCGGGGGAGCATCTGTGAGCCCTGGGGGAGCACCTGTGAGCCCCGGGGGAGCATCTGTGAGCCCTGGGGGAGCACCTGTGAGCCCTGGGGAGCATCTGTAAGCCCTGGGGGAGCACCTGTGAGCCCCGGGGGGCACCTGTGAGCCCTGGGGAGCACCTGTGAGCCCCGGGGGAGCATCTGTGAGCCCTGGGGGAACACTTGTGTGTCCCCGGGGGAGCACTTGTGAGCTCTGGGGAGCACCTGTGAGCCCCGGGGAGCATCAGTGAGCCCCGGGGAGCACCTGTGAGCTCAGGGAGCACCTGTGAGCCCCAGGGGAGCATCTGTGAGCTCAGGGAGCACTTGTGTGTCCCCGGAGGAGCACTTGTGAGCTCTGGGGAGCACCTATGAGCCCCAGGAGCACCTGTGAGCTTGTGGAGCACCTGTGAGCCCTGGGGAGCACCTGTGAGCCCTGGGGAGCATCTTTGAGCTCAGGGAGCACTTGTGTGCCCCTGGGGGAGCACTTGTGAGTCTGGGGAGCATCTATGAGCCCCAGGAGCACCTGTGAGCCCTGGGGAGCACCTGTGAGCCCCGGGGAGCACCTGTGAGCCCCAGGGAGCATCTGTGAGCTAAGGGAGCACTTGTGTGCCCCTGGGGGAGCACTTGTGAGTCTGGGGAGCACCTATGAGCCCCAGGAGCACCTGTGAGCCTTGGAGAGCACCTGTGATCTCGGGGAGCACCCGCCTCACTGCCTTGTGCTGTCACCAGGATGAGACCTTGCCCTCGGCAGAAGCCGCACTCATCCTACACCGGAAAGGCTTCGACTGTGGCCTTGAGGCCAAGAACTTGGGCTTCAACTGCACCACAAGTCAAGGCAAGGTGAGCAGGCCCAGGTGTGGGAGGAGCCCCGAGGAGAGGAGGGAGGGAGATGGGGCAGCTGGGAATGGGAGGCGTGAGCGAGGTGGGTGAGATTGCAGTGAGGTCAGGCAATGATCGGGGGGCTGGGGGGGAGCTGGGAGGGGGCAGGTGTCACTCTGGGTATTTGAGAGAGAAAAACGGAAGCTGCTGACATTTGTTTTCAAAGCTATGGAGGCCTGGTGGTGCAAGTTCTAGACGAGATGCCCATCAGACACAGAAATTAAAACCCAAAAGCACCCTGGCCGGTGTGGCTCAGTGGATAGAGCGTCGGCCTGCGGACCAAAGGGTCCCGGGTTCAATTCCAGTCAAGAGCACATGCCTGGGTTGCAGGCTCCTCCCCAGCCCGGACCCTGTTCGGGGTTCGTGCAGGAGGCAACCAATCGATGTATTTCTCTCACATCGATGTTTCTGTCTTTCCCTCTCTTTTCTATTCTCCCTAAAAAAATCAGTGGAAAAATATCCTTAAGTAAGGATTAACAAAAAACAAACACACACAAAAAAACCCCAAAAGCCATCAAGCTGTACTCGTTGTGTAAGCCGGCACCCACAAACGCCTCCACGCCCCAGGTCCTCGGAAGAGGACCAGGACATGGCCCCTGCCCCCCAAGAGCTCACCGCTCGGTGCAGCAGTCCCCACCCCGGGTCCAAGGTCAGGCTCGGGCTGAGGACATCTGGGTGAGCCCGGGACTGGGGCAGACCCGCACGTGTCCGTAGGCACACGGCTGCCGATGGCACAGCGAGTATTGGAGGAAGAGCTGCCCTCCCTGGCGTGTCAGCACCCAGCACGGCCTCCCCCCTCTCTCCTCCGCGCAGGTGGCCCTGGGGAGCCTCTTCCGCGACCTGGACGTGGGCTTCCTGCAGCCGACCTCCCTGACGCTGCTGTACCCGCTGGCCTCGCCCTCCAACAGCACGGACGTCTCCCTGGAGCCCATGGAGGTCGCCACCTTCCGCCTCCGCCTGGGCTAGGCTTCCTGTGGCCGGAGGGGAAGGGCCTCCACGTAAGGTCGGGCTGGACCAGCCGCACTGGGCACCCCGTCCCGATCGGCCCTCGCGTCCTCTTTATTGTTGCTGCTTCTGTGTTCGGGGGCCGCCCACAGCCCGGCGCCGGGCGGCCAGGGCAGGCGCTAGTGAGACCGGGACAGAAGGCCCTGGGTCGGAACGGGCAGGGCCGGCCGCGGCTTCGGGGTGTGAGTGGCCGCCCAGGCGCCCGTCCTTTTCCCAAAGTGGGATGGAGGAGAATCAGGAGAGGTGGGGAGGCCGGAGGGGAACCGCCAGCCCCAGGGTCGGCCGGTCCCGGGGGATCCCGTGGTCGTGTGGGGACTGTGTCCCGGGGTGACAGCAGGAGCGGAGGGGTGCTGGGAGGAGGGGATGGGGGCCGAGCCGGCAGCTTTCTGTGAGGGCTCCACTCTGAGCGCTCCCTGGCCCGAACGCCCTGCAGCGTGGCGGGAGGACGCCCTGGAGACTGTCGTGGCCGGAGGTCAGGGCACTTCAGGTGCAAAATCCCCATCCCAGACTGGGCGCCTGGTCTGTGTGTGGATCTGGGGTGGGGGCGGCAGGGGCATGGGGGCCCTCCCCCCTGCGGACTCCTCTCTGGTTCTGTCCTCTGCACACCACGGTCCCCGCGAGCCCCTCCCAGCCCCTTCCAGCCGTGGGGGCGTGTGGCCGGCGCCCAAGATGCCCTGTGCCTGGGCGAGCGTGGGCCTCGCAGCCTCCCCGCGTGTCTCCGGGAGAACCCGGGTCCCGGCACAGGGACCAGGGACGTGTGAGTGACTGAGGCCCTGCGGCTGCTCCCCGGCCTTCATCTCCGCTTCGACGAATAGAGAACACGCTGCGATAGTCTCTGTAGACGCCGAAACGACATTTGGCAAAATTTACAAGCTGTCCCTTATTAAAACTCCTAAGCTTAGAAAGAGACATGCTCATCTAGTAAAGCTCTCTCTCAGAACCAGCAGGTGACGGGCGTCCCGTTCACGCCAGAAACTAAACTGGCCGAGGGCTCTGTTCTTTAGGGAAGTCCCGGCACTGCTGGCCCTGCAGAAGAGAAAGTCACAGTTGTCGTTATTTGTAGGCGATAGAAGGGCCGACCTATAAGACCTAAGCGCGCCAGCGGAAGACCTGTTGGCCGCGTGCTGTCAGTTGACCCAAATGAACACACATCCGTTTCCTGAACAGACTCTGGCTCCCTCCACACAGCCCGTACATTCATGCTGTTCATGGTACTTTTTGGAATACGACAGGTTCTAAAGTGCATTTGGAAGAGTAAATGTGTGCGAACACCAAGAGGTCTGAGTCCTGATGAGTTGGGGGGCGCGGGGTGGCCGTGCGGGGGCAGGGGCGGGCACTTGTCCCTCAGGGATGCCCAAAGGACGCGCGTGTGACCTGGAGCGGGAGCAGGCACGTGGACTGGGGGGACGTGCACAGACCCAGGTATTTGGGAATTTAGGATAAAAGGAGTATTCTAGGGGGGAAAGATGGGTTATTTAAAAAGCAGTGCTCGCCGAAACCGGTCTGGCTCAGTGGATAGAGCGTCGGCCTGCGGACTGAAAGGTCCCAGGTTCGATTCCGGTCAAGGGCATGTACCTGGGTTGCGGGCACATCCCCAGTAGGAGATGTGCAGGAGGCAGCTGATCGATGTTTCTCTCCCATCGATGTTTCTAACTCTCTATCTCTCTCCCTTCCTCTCTGTAAAAAATCAGTAAAATATATTTAAAAAAAAAAAAAGCAGTGCTTTAAGACAACTGGATCTGTGAAAGTGAGTTAGATCTCTACCTCACAGTTTCCACAAAAATTAGTTCCAGAGGGAAAAAATAAGAAAGCTAAACTATAAAACTACTGAAGAAAATATGGGATATTTTCAAACCTCTGGTGTGGGAAGGCCTGTTATAAACATATGGAACCTAAAAGGTTTATAATAATAAGGGAAATGATATAATGAGGGAAAAGAAAGATTTTATCACAAAATATTCAAGGTTTCTGTATGATGGAAGATATCGGGGTTAAAAATGCAAAAGTCAGATTTGGGAGACAATATTTGCCCGAGCCGGTGTGGCTCAGTGGATAGAGCGTCGGCCTGCAGACCGAAGGGTCCCGGGTTCGATTCCAGTCAAGGGCACGTACCTTGGTTTCGGGCTCCTCCCTAGCCCAGGCCCTGGTCGGGGCTCCTGCAGGAGGCAACCAATCCATGTGTTTCTCTCACATCGATGTTTCTCTCTGTCTTTCCCTCTCGCTTCCACTCTCCCTAAAAAGCAATGGGAAAATATCCTCGGGTGAGGATTGACAAAAAAAAAATAAATGGGTGAGTACGATTAAGGGGAAAGCTTGCTGTGGGGCCCTGAGGGAGAGCCACTGGGCCTGCTAAGCAGCTACCTGACGCTTCAGGCCGCCCAGGGCCCATGGAGCCCTGCCTCTCACAGGGAAGAAATGAGATTACTGGGAAGGGCTTAGCACAGTGCATATAGGAGCTCCACAAACAGGAGCTGTAACGTTAGTAAAGGATGCCAAGCAATTACAGCATAGCAGGTGTTTTGTGTTTGTTTTTTAAATATATATATTTTTTATTGATTTCAGAGAGGAAGGGAAAAGGAGATAGAAACATCAATGATGAGAATCATTGATTGGCTGCCTCCTGCACGCCCCACACTGGCGATCCAGCCCGCAACCCAGGCATGTGCCCTTGAACGGAAATCGAACCCTGACCTCCAGGTTCCTAGGTCGACGCTAACCACTGAGCGGTGCCGGCTGGGCTGCAGGCGTTGTTTGCTAGCATGCTGTGTAATCAAAAGAAGGGAGAATCAGTGAAGCCCCTACAAAGTCAGCAGAATAAAGGCTCCTTGGAGGCCGTAGACGTTACTCATCTGCGGGGAATGAACGTGTTTACTCCTATGCACTGGCCTCCTAGACTACGTGGCAGCGTTGCGCAGGGGGCAGTCGGGTTCTCCAGGATCGCGTGTTGGCATTCCAGCTCTGGCCCGTCCTGACAGGCTGCTGCCTCGGCAGGAATGCCGGGACGAGGGTCTGTGGAGCTGAGCTCCAGCGACCTGGGATTGACATGTGACAAGAACAAGAAATGAAACCTAACTGTAGTGCACAGGGGGAAAGGCAGGTTCCTGGGCACAGCCTGTGGAACCAGTCTCCGGGAGGAGGGGCCAAAGAATAGGCATGTTGACAAGCCCCGGGTGGTGGTTCTGCACACTCATTTGGAAATGGGCTGGCAATTTCAAGGCAAGCAGCGGCCTTGGCCATGGAGCTCTGGCCCTGAGGCCTCAGTTACAACCAAAACTGGAACCAGGACCTAACGCGGGAGCAACTCCAAGCACCGGGAATGGGGGAGTCCTGTTCCTCCCTGAACGTCTCCGGCCACCTCCAGCCATCCGTGTCCATGCAGAAGGGAGGGCTGGCCCGGCCGGCGTGGCTCAGTGGTTGAGCGTTGACCTAGGAACCAGGAGGTCACGGTTCGATTCCCGGTCAGGGCACACGCCCAGGTTGTGGGCTCGGTCCCTGTGTGGGGCGCGCAGGAGGCAGCTGATCAGTGATTCTCATCATTGATGTTTCTCTCTCTCTCCCTCTCGCTTCCTCTCTAAAATCAATAAAAATATATTTAAAAAGAAAAAAGGGAGGGCTGTATGGCTGCTGGGAACCATGAAGAGAAAGGCAGATTTAAACTAAGATCTACGTTATCCAACGCAGGGTGGGCCAGGCCCGGGCAGAGCTCTGACTTGACTTCTGGGTGACTATCACCTTCAAGTTGAACTCAAGTGGTTCCAGGGGGAAAAAGGTACTTACCCCGTACTTCCAACTTGTAAGTTTCGGATGGTTTAAATTTTTGTAAATAATTGTAAAAAAATTAACTATATTGGTTCAGGTCAAACCGTTTATCTAAGGAGCCTCAGACTCACAGTCCAGATCCACTGGCCACTTCAGACCTGATCGCTCTCCTCTGTCCAGCGGTTAGAATGACCACGATTGAGGTCACTCTTGCCTGGTTACGGGGCGCAGCAGCACGGCAGACCCAGAGAGGGCTGGTCCTGGGCCTGTCACTATGTGATCTATTTAATGATTAATGAGACTTCTTATTCTCCATAGAATGAGAGTAATTCCTGCCCTCCCCAGCCCACTCATCTGGTTATTTATAAAGAACATGACATACAGTGAGGTTTGTGAAACATCAAGTACCTCCTGATGGTCTCTTTATGTATATATTTTTAATGTATTTTATTGATTTTTTTACAGAGAGGAAAGAAGAGGGATAGAGAGTTAGAAACATGAGAGAGAAACATCGACCAGCTGCCTCCTGCACACCCCCTACCGGAGTTGTGCCTGCAACCAAGGTACATGCCCTTGACTGGAATCAAACCTGGGACCCTTCAGTCCGCAGGCCGACGCTCTATCCACTGAGCAACACCGGTCAGGGCAGTCTCTTTATATTCTCATTCTGAAGATACAGAAGGGGTTTATATTTGTTTAAATGTCCTGAGACTTAAATTGAAACCACTTAAAACTGCAGAATTATTTTTCAAATTTGGTAAATATTGTTTTTAACATCTTGTAATCACACCCCCTGAAAAAACTAATAATAAAAAAAACACAATCCCAAATCTCCTAAAAGTACTGCAGCTTGCACGGCCTTAAGAGGGTTACACCGAACTCGATTGGTTTATCTGGGCCTGTCCTGAAGCTCATTTCCTTCTTGTTAATCCTCAGCAGAGGTTATATTTACCCCATTGATTTTTCTTTTTTTAATCCTCACCCAAGGATATTTTTTTCCACTAATTTTTTTAAGACAGGAGGGAGGGAAGGAGAGAAATATCGATGTGAGAGAGCCACATCAATTGGTTGCCTCTCACACACGGGATCAAACATGCTATTTTGTTAATTTTTTAGTCTTCATATTTTTTCCATTGATTTTTAGAGTGGAAGGGAGGGGGAGAGGCAGAGAGACACACCGATGTGAAAGAGACATCAATTGGTTGTCTCCAACATGTCTCCTTGGCCCCACCAGGGCCAGGAGCCTGCAACCTGGGCATGTGCCCTTCACCAGAATCGAACCCGGGACCCTTCAGTCCACAGGCCGATGCTCTATCCACTGAGCCAAACCAGCCAGGGCAAACCTGCCATTTTTAAAAATATATATTTTATTAATTTTTTTTTTTTTTTACAGAGAGGAAGGGAGAGGGATAGAGAGTTAGAAACATCGATCAGCTGCCTCCTGCATACCCCTTGCTGGGGATGTGCCCGCAACCAAGGTTCATGCCCTTGACCAGAATCGAACCTGGGACCCTTCAGTAGGCGGATCGAAGCTCTAACCAATGGGCAACACCAGCCAGGGCAAACTCATTTCCTTTTGAAGTCCTCGTTTTGTTGCCCCGCCTTTTTCTCCCCTGCTGAGAGTGCACTGGGCCTTCTTGGGGTGAAAAGCCATCCTGGCCCAGAACGGAGTGGCTGTGACCTAACAATGTCCCGGTCCCCCAGGTGCGCCCTTTCCAAGGGGCTCATAAGCCTCCGCGGCCGCAGAACCAAACACTCCTCCTGCTAAACGCCCGACCCCCACGCACACGCCACTCACAGCACCGCAGCCTCCCAGGTCCCGCCCACCCCGGGCTATGTGGGAGGGGCCGCTTCCGGAGCAGCCGGAACTCGCTGTCACTTAGCAACCAGGTGACAGGCTGCGACTCGGGCCTATCCCGTGGCCGCTCCCGCGCTGGGCAGGAGCTTCGAGCGGGCGGCGCGCCTTTTCAATACACCTGCCCGCTGGCAGGACTCTCCCAACGAGGACGCCCACCATTCACTGGGCATCTGTCAGGTTCCTTCAGGCACGTCACGCTATGGAACCCCGAGAATTCACCACCTTTCTCACCAACAGGAAACCAGGCCGAGAGGCGAAGGCCCTCAACCCGGGGGACCTGGCTCAGGGCGGGAATCGCACCTGCCGGTCCCCCATCCCAGAGCCTGGAGAAGGAGCAGCAGCTCAAACTCGACCCGAAATGCTTTATTTTCCATCATGACTCTGCAACGCATGTCTGTATAGCCCGAGGGGCCGGAGGGACCGGAGATCCCACCTGGCAAATGGCAAACGGACCCAAGGCCTGCAGGGCAGTGAATGCACCGGAAGTGCACTGGGTGCGCCTGGCCCCCACAGTCCAGGCTCAGCTTACTTGGCAGGAGGCCTTCAGGGTGGGAAAGGGCAAATGCTCTGGGCCGCTGGGCGGAGTGAACCACGGAGGGTGGAGAGGCCCCGAGGCTGGAGAATGAGTCCCCTCCGGCCCGGGCAGGGCTGGAAGCTG